GCTCGACTAATCAGATTGCTGGAAACTCTTTGCTCAGCTCTGAAATTATACTAAATCTGAATATGTTAGGGGTGTTAAGGATGAAATAGGTTGTTAGCTCCTACTGGCGCCTTTCTTATTACTTCCACAAGTTGACGTTATTCCCTCTTAGTCATCTTTGTAGCTGACAGGTTCTTAAATTTTTATATTACACAGGTGTAGGTGCCCATGAGGGTTACTCTGATACAGCACCTTCGACAAAATAACTCTAGAGGAATGAAAGCAGGTAAATCTACCTCCTGAGCATCTTCAAACATGTCCTCTGTTCGTTTCTTCTTCCTTGGCTCTCTCTTGAAGAAGTCATCAGACAGACGTTCGGGTAATTTGAAGTTGCTCAGGTCTATCTGGGTGCTGGTGGCAATGACATAAGCTTGGTTCACTCTTCTGAGAGGAACACCATTCACCTTGTAAGGTCCTGCAGAAGAACAGTTAACATATGTAAACAAACCAGGGCATGAGAAAAGGAATCATTTTAGTAAACTGGCTCATGCTTGCACTCGGAAGATCAGAGGGTACAAATAACACAGCACACTTTTCAATAAAGTGTTGTGTTAAACTTGCATATCCCTTGAAGGAGAAAAACAGGTTAGTTGCTACATCAAACTATTCAATTTGCTCTTTCTGTGAGTCCTCCAAGTGATGGAAAAGCCTTAGAAGCACTTCGAGCCACCACTGTTTCAGCCACCATAACAAGTAAAAAACAAATTTGACAACTAAATTTGTAGCTGAAGTTGCTGGTGACTGGTGGTAACAATATTATTACTCAGTATTTAAGACCTAAAATTAATATGAGTGGCCCACAAAATGTCTTTTCCACTGATTTACGAATAACCTGTTTTAAATAATGAGCCATACCTGTGACTAGCAGAAGACCTGAGGCAAGCTGCTTGAGGAAGACCACTCTCTACAAAATCAGAGTTTTTTTGTTTTAAAAAAAAAACATCATTAAATAAAACAGAGGTTTTGACTCTCAGTAACGTTACGTTCTACCCCTTCACATTTCTTTATGTAGCAGAAAGGTCTATAGAACTAATTCTGGGTACAGTTAATCCTTGATTATTTAGACTTGTGGGGACTGAGCTGACTAGTCCCCTGGGGTGAACATTTGGGATGGATAATTGAAAATATGAATATTAATAAAGCTGCATTAATGCAATAGCAGCAACATTGTTTCAGTACATCTGCTTTATTTGATGGGAATCTTGAATACAGCTGAATGATATTTGTGAAAAAATAAAATGGGACCAGGTAATGGTGTCTGGATAATTAAAAAAATTGGGATAATTAAGATTTGACTGCACCTCAAAAACCAAAAAAGAAAACACAAACACAAACACACACTCACATACAACAAACAAAGATCTCAGCTCTTGTAGTTGTCATCATATAATCCCTGGGTTGTTGTTACAGGTGAAACTATACTAACCATCTTGTCTTTCTATCTAATAAATCTCCACAATACCTGCTTCAGAAGTACTACCTAAGATGTAAGTTAAGAGCTCCACCATTTGCAACCATTTTTTTTTTTTACAAACCTTGCCTCGATGACGTCCAGCAAGGAGAATGAGAATGGTTCCAGGGGTGATAGAGGTGCGCAACTTAGTGGGCTTAGCCTTTCGCCTGTTCCTCAGAGGTCGTCGCACATCTTCAGTTGGATAGTAGCGAGACTAAAACATTTACAACAGAGCAACACAGAAAAGTATTATATTGCAGTTTGAAATAAATAACAAACTAGATGACCCCCACGAACCATAAAATCAGTGCTACTAAAATAGGGAACTTTACACTGAAAATGGGTGTACTCTTAATAGAGGCAACACTTGAACTAATTACTTTTCCACAACATCCAGGAATGCAGACAGTTACTAGGTCAAAACCATTTCCTTGACATATTCAGTGAAACCACTTGGCTGCCCCTCAAGGTTTCACTTTAGTCTTGAACATTGTTAGTTGACCTCATTTCTGTCATGTTTTTTTAATATTAAATGAAAAGCATCAACTTATCAAAATGTGTTAAAAATATCTGTGACACAATCCCCTGCATTTTGCCTACCACTTTCTTGTTCTAACCACATTTTTGTATCAACTATGTTCTATAGTTTTCACTTGGTGGGGCATTGTGGTCCATTTCGCAAAATTAAGAGGGGATTTTGCAATTATGCCATTGTTGGGACCGTGTTGTTGTGAGTTTTCATTTTTCAATCCCCTCCTAAGTGATAACAATAGCAATAGAGTTTATATTCTTGGACCATAATATGTTTCAGGTCCTTCTCCATTTTAACCCTTACCCAGTAGCCCAGGCTTAAATGGCTCTAAGTTGGACCCAATATATATTTATGGTCACAAACAAAATCTTTGTTGTTCTATCACTGAACAGATATATGGCAATAGTCTATTTTTAACCCTTTAACTCCCATGAGAGACAAGACAATTTCTCATAAAATATCAATACAATATCAAGCAGACAAGTGATGAGAATATCATCATCATCATCATCATCATCATCATCTTTTATTTGCCTTATTTTAACAATAACAATAATTAATTACAGCGATAACAGTTAGAGGGCGAAGAGACCCAAGAAGCCAGTGGCTTATGGGAGAGCCACCTGACTTACAATAATAAATCAAGTAAAGAAAAAGTGCTGCGAATGTGCGACTTGGCCAATTCAGTGATTATTTAAGTTAAAACTCTTGAAATTTCGTCTTAAAGCTTAGAAAGTTTGATGAATGGAATCAAATATGGAAAAATATAAATCTGGTCTTGGGTGTTTCAAGGTTGGATAACACTATCCACTAGAAAAATCTTACTCCAGTGTATAGTGCAGCATGTTTAGCTGTCACTTATCTACTGGATAGCCATTTATCTGTTGGATAGCATTATCCTCCCTTAATACAACTGGGCCCAAGGGATTATTGGTTGATTCAAGACCAAATTCTCTGCACTAACATCACAAGGACTGTGTAAAAGAAAGTAAGGAGAACTATAAATGAGATCTTGGGAGTTACAGGTTTAAATGATATTCATCAAAGATACATACCTCTCTCTTCACTGGAACTACTCTTGTGGAACCATTCTTGTCCCCTCCAACCTCCTTTACTCTAGTTTTTGGTTCTTCAACAACTTCCTTCTTAACTCCTGTCTTTTTGCGTTTGTACAGAGCCCTCTTTTTGTAGATAGCTGATCTGCTGTACCTCCCTATGCCAGGGGCGAGATCTTTGTTGCGTGGTGTGTGGACTTTTGCCATCTACAAAAGTGCACGTGAAAAGTGTTACGAACAATTTCTTGGTTGCAAGGGGAACAATTTCAGATGGATAGATTTTTGGCATGAATCGTTTCGCGAAAAAAGGTATTAGATAATTAAAAAACATTAATTTCCGACGGGGAAGGGGGTAAACGATCATCATAATGATGCAAATGAAACTTTTTTAAATCTTTGTTATTTACAAAACCTGTCCATCCTTATTTTTGTCGATCATCGTAAGAAAGAACAAGAGTAAAAAACGTGTGATTCTTTATTATTTGCTCAGAATAGAGTTACAGTTCGATAACTTGGTTATTCGTTAAGGCGTAAACTAAGCACGGTTGAATGATGTCGTAACGGAGGCTGGATGGAGGTTGATTTTGAGTAACTATTCAATCATTCCCCTCACCTTTCCAAAAGCCACAAACGAAGAGACAGCTTACATCCGGGAGACCTTGATTGAAAGCAATCTGCGCCTGCAATATTCAGGCAGTATTGTGTCAGTGGAAGTACGAGCTATAACCCAGTCTTCGCAACACATAACACGGCGAAAATTGGGGTAACTTCTTTGAAAGTTTTTTAAGAGTTTACGTTTAATTTTAGTTTTCTGAGTTTTATAATGGTTTTTCTTCGCATTTTTCGTGCCGCACGTATGCATAAAAAAGTAAGTCTCTTAGTCGGATTTGGAGCCTCGGCAGTTGGTATAGGTACAGCTTTAGGGTTTTCATTTGTGACTGCTCGCGAGAGAAAAGTCGACACCTCCAAATTTATGGCGGAACCTTTGACAGAAACTCAAACTCTAGAGAACAGCATGGATGACATGAAAAGCAGGATGGAGGTGATGATCCTTGGGGTTCAGGCCGATATATGTCGGAAACTTGCAGCAATCGATGGGAACGACTTTCGTGTAGATCGTTGGCTGAGAAAAGAAGGTGGAGGCGGCATAAGCTGTGTATTGCAAGATGGTAAGGCTTCATATAAAGGCTCACGAGACAACGACTGACCACGACGATTGTTCCAAGAAATTTTTTTGTGGCATTAAAGCACCTTCCAATCTCATTTAGGGGCATTCAAGCACAAATTTTTCCAACAACTTAGCCTATTTATCTAGAGTTTCTAAAGAAACTGTGGTGCTACATCAGTGGGGTAGTACAACAAAATAATTTGGTTTTATCAGCTGATTGGCCACCATAAAGAGAGAGCGATAGCCCTTCTTCATCACTGATGAAGGACTTATGCTTGAAACATCTCCTTTAGAAACTCTTTATGGTGGCCAATCTACATCATTAACATTTTAACTCCCAAGATCTGATTATGAATTCTCCCCTCTAGCTGCTACACATTTTCTTGTAAATTTGTTATGAGAATTTGGTGTTCAATCAAGGTAACAACTACCTGATAAATTTGAGTATTCTCATTACCTGTTTGCAGGATCATGTATGGATACTCTAGAGAGAAGTTAAGGTTAATCACTTCTGGGAGTTAAAGGGTTAAGTCAGTTAATAAAGCCAAATTGTCTTATGTTTATCTGCCTTACTGGGTTAGACTTGGAGTAACTTAGACTCAGCCCAGTTTGCAGAGTATAGCAGAACTCAAGATCTTATACCATTCTGAATTATTTCGTGATGTTTATTGTTTTCTGTATATAGTACTCTGCTGTTAAAGGGTGTAGGATATGGGATGCAATTCCTCAATCAAGTCAGAATTTTCTTTTCCCTCAATCTTGACAAAATGAATGCAGACAAAAACTTTTCTTACTTGACATCCAAATTCAAAATTTTCTTTTATTCAAAAATTGTATTATAATTCTGCAGGGAAGGTGTTCGAGAAGGCTGGTGTAAATGTCTCAGTTGTCTGCGGGAATTTGCCACCTGCAGCTGTGGAACAGATGAGAAGTAGGGGTAATGACCTTCAAGGAAACAATTTTCCATTCTTTGCGGCAGGGATAAGTTCTGTTATTCATCCCCGCAATCCATTTGTTCCAACCCTTCACTTCAACTATCGTTACTTTGAAGTCCAAGAGGAGAGTGGCAAGAAACACAGTTGGTTTGGTGGAGGAACTGATCTTACACCTTATTACCTAGATCAAGAGGTAAATGACAAGAATTTTAAAATAATTTGAATATATCAACAAAGTTGAAATGGTAAATTGGCCACCGTTACGATTATAAAAGCCAACATTTCGAGCGTTAGCCCTTCGTTGGAGCGAATAGGGGTTGTGTGTGCTTTTAAAGGCAGAAAAAAGAGCTACGTGTGCCTTTAAAAGCACACTCAACCCAAAATTCCCCTATTCACTCCGATGAAGGGCTAACGCTCAAAACATCAGCTTTTATAATCATAACGGTGGCCAATTTACCATTTCAACTTTGTTGATATATTCAAATTATTTTGTTACCCTCACCAACGCAGCCCCAAACAGTTTCTTTAGAAACTATCAGCCTTTATTCAAGAATTTTAAAAGTTTGTTGATAACCCTTCATTTCTTTACTCTTTAACTCCTCGAAGTAATAAAAGGTCAAGTCTGTACTCATGCAGGCCAAATGACCCATCCAGCTAGAGTTTATCCAGGTGAAGCAACTAGGAGTATTACTACCCCCCCCCCCCTGGATGGGATGTTAGTTAGTTAGTTACCCCCTAAGCATTTCATCGGTCTTCCTTGAAAATTTTACTGGTACTCATTTAACCCTTTCACTACCAAGATCTGATTAGAAATTCTCCTTACTGTCTATCATACAATTTTTATAATGTTGGTAATTTGGAGAATTTGGTACTGGATCAACTAAAGCTTCCCTAATTTGATATTTTTCTTTATTCTCAACACTTGTCCACTTGATATTGTATTGACATTGTGGGGGGAAATTCTGTCTCACTCACTCATGGGAGTTTAGTCTAGTTTAGTTTATTTGCTTCGCCGACAGGCAGGGACACCACAACAGCTTGTGCCAATTACTGTGGGCCCAGTAAACCCACCCATCCCACCCCAGGGGAGGACATCCACCACACAGTAATCTTGTGCATGGGAAATTAACGTCTCCTACCCCTAACCCTGCAGGAGAAGGGACCTACGGTTTGTTCATCCTTATCTGAGAAGACTAGAATATCTATCCATTTCTTGACATTATAGAAAGGTAGCAAATTCTCCTCAGTTATTTTAAGACTATGAGTATTGGTCTGACCGGGGCTCCAACCCTCAACCTCCCGCACGACACAATCCAGTGCTCNACTCTTGGGTGAAGAGAGGCACTGTAAGGGTAAAGTGTCTTGCCCAAGAACGCAACACAATGTCCCTGGCCAGGGCTCCAACCCAGACCACTTGATGCGAAGTCAAGCGCACTAGCCATGAGGCCACCGCACTTCCACTCCTGAGTGCATTGCGGGGTTAATGCTTCAGAGAACTATTACTCAGTGGGATGATGTTACATCTTCTCTTTGTTTTTGTCTTAGGATGTAAAGCATTTTCATAAGACTTTAAAGGACTTCTGTGATAAGCATGACCTATCCTATTATCCTAAATTCAAGAAGTGGTGTGATGATTATTTTGTTGTGAAGCATAGAGGTGAGTCACACCCAATGGTCTGAAAAATTTCCTTAAAAAAACTGATTGAATAATAACAAGATACTGGAAGGCTTAGATTTGTCAAAAAATATGATGACAGAGGGGGCTCTTATAATAATCATGGCATGCTAGAAGGTTTTTGTCTTAGAAATCTGAGGTTCCAGGGTATAAAAACTCTTAAAGTTCACTAAAACAAAGTTAATATGCAAGTTGCCTAAAGACAAAAGGTGGTTGCCTGTGGGGCAAAACCATGTGAAGACACCTGTGTCACACTATGTGCATCTCTGGGCTGAGTAGCCTGTCTCAGAACAAATGGCTTGAACTTGCTGGAACAATAAAGTACATGTATGTTCTGTGTTTGTCCAGGTAAGAGTGGTCCCATTATGGACTATTGTTCGTAGTAACTGATGGTTCAAATACACGAATGGTGCCATCCTGAAAGTCAAGTCAAGTCATTAAGGCAGTTGACTCTGTTGATGATGTCTGCTTAGGTTGATCACACATCTCTCCCTGCCATCAACTGCACTATACCATTAATCCAGGAATGAATTCCATACCTTGAATTATTACCTTGACAATTTGAAGCCATAATTTTTCATTTTCACCAAGTAGAAGCAATAATCTCAAGGTGAGATATAACTAAGTCTTTATCATATGCACTAGTCTTCTGAGGCTTGATGTTGCTTTCTTCATAACAGGGGAATGTAGAGGTGTGGGCGGCATATTCTTTGATGACCTAGACAAACCCTCACAGGAACAGGTATTCCAGTTTGTTCAAGCTGGAGCCAATGCTGTTCTGCCTGGCTATGTTCCCATGGTGTTAAAACATAAAGATGATGCATACACTGAAAGTGAACGACAGTGGCAGTTGTTACGGAGGGGACGGTAAGTTTTGTGTGGTCTTGCAACTCTTCCAGGAAGAAGATATACACTAACACAACAGTTCAACATCTCAATAATAATTAATGATTTTTTTTGTATTTGTAGATATGTGGAATTTAACTTGGTCTATGACCGTGGCACCAAGTTTGGTCTGTATACACCTGGTGCTCGCATAGAAAGCATTCTGATGTCATTGCCCCTTGAGGCACGCTGGGAGTACATGCAGGCACCTGAGAAAGGCAGCAGAGAAGACGAACTGCTACAAATTCTGCAGACTCCTAGAGATTGGGTTAAATAAGCAGTAAATGCATGTTTTTTTACTCAGGAAGCTACATCTTGGAGGCAAATAATACAAGCTATGTAGACAGTAATTCAATAACTTCTAGAAGCATTTGACACATACTGGTAACTTTTCCATATAATGTCAATCCAGTAACTTGTGAACAGTCCTTCATTATCAATGTTTCAGCATGAGAGTTTCTCTGCTCCCTCTTTATTAGTAACAGACCCCCAGGGAACCTTTTACTGACCCATCTCAGATCTTCCTTGGGGCGGAGAAACACGTGTCTTGCAGGGCTAATAGTGAAGGCTGGGCTAAGTATCCAGTGAACTTTTGATAAGAGAGCAGATAAATAGTTTTGGTTAAAGTATGTGAATGGGTCCCTTAAAGGGACACTAATGTGTGATTGTTTTAACAAAGTTTACCTGTTGTTTAACAAAACTGTGCCCTAAATAATCCTCATTTAAATCTGAGCATTTTTTGTGACCTGTGTCAAGAGGGCTCAAAGCTAGCAGTGGAAAGACATTTAATTTGTCAAATCAACCATCTTATACAAAAAGTCTGTGGCCCACTGATTGTGTTAAACCATGGTTTGGGTTAGACCTCATGTAAATAACAGGCCCTAAAAATTTAATTTAATGCTACAATAGGATGGTTTTACACAACATACTCAGCCTTTCGCTCTGACGAAGTCTTTACAGAGGCCAATTCACATACTATTACTTAGCGAAAAGCTGTTCTTCATAAATGTGTAAAATGAGATTGCAATATTGAGACTTGTGACTGGCAGAGACTACGTAATAATTGAAAATTAACAAAATCTAAGATTTACAGTTTTGAATTTGAAATACTGTTACTGATAAAATGAATCATCTATGATTTTAAAATTCATCTTAAAACTGTCAAAAATGAATTGTATTTTGAATAAAAAAGCATACAACAATAAATAACGGGCCATATGAAAGAACTTTCTGAGCCAGTAGCTGAATATTTAATGAATCATAATCTTTATTTTTGTAACAATTTTTCATAACCATATTGTCAAATTAGCATTGACATCATGTTTTCTATACTTTATACGACATAATATTTTCTATACTTTTCTTGAGGTGCTGACAAGGAGAATTTGTTTACAATCACAAGTTCAATGTATGATCATTTCCTTTGTTCTTGTGATCTTGGTGCATGATTCAGGAGAAATCTGATGCCGATCACGCGTTGTGTTCAAAGGATTATGGCCAGAATCTCAGAAGGGAGACACCCTTAGTTGATAAAATTCACCACACACGAGGAAGACTGCCGGCAGAATTGTGGAATTTCCTACAGTAACATGAACATTAAATGCGACCTTGCTTATTATGAAAATATTCTGTAGGCAAACAGCGACTAAAAACGCTGTCGCGTAACTCCTCTTTTGAGTTTTTCAGTCCCAGTCCCGCTCGACTTACGTTCGCTGGTTCCCGACTTTCAAACTCAGTCAATTTAGAAGTACCTTTTTGATATTTGATGTAGAGCAAATACTTTTTCAGAAATGATCCTATTCTGTTTTGCTTTATTCTGTTTTGTTTTGGTCTTTTTTTTTTGTTTTTGTCTCGGTTGATTTACATCGAATTGATCGATGAATTTACTGGTAATTAATCTAAAAAAAAAAAAATCTAGGCTTAAGTATCAGTTGCTGATCGGAAAGAGAGCCCGTACTCGTTACCCAAGAAGTCCTCGAGAGAGAGAGGATCAATTACTCGATAAAACGTCAGAATTTGAGCTGAGAACGTTAAGCGTTAAACCTTCCATCGGGGATGTTGATGTTCTCCTAGGGAATTTAAATCCTCCGAGTCTATTCCCCTCCCCTCCCCCCCCCTTTCTTCCCTAGGAACAACCACATCCATCCCTTTGCAACGGAAAACCCAGATATTCAGGAATGTTAAAAATCTTTAGCTTATTACAGGGTTTAAAAGTACTTAAACATTAATCGGTGGAAACGAGATTTAGATCTTGTCTGAACCGGAAATCTCTCCAAATGACTGAGGATCGACATTTAAGAATGAAAGTTTTTCTTTAGGATAATTTGATATCTTGCTTTTAGCTTTGATACTAATAACCAGAATTACCTTTTGACTTTCATCTGGTAAATTGACTTTTTTATTCATGAGCGCGTGTATTTCTGTTGGACGTAATATAAAGTTTTAATGACTGGCTGGTTCGTTTTCTTCGACTGATCACAACAACGTTTTCTTTGAATTTTTGTGGGCTTCTCAGAACTGATGGATGATACGAAATTGCGAATCGTCCCATTTAAATTTTAATTTTTAGCGACTTAAATTTTCACAAAATCATCGCAAGAGCCATTTGGATTGGATGTTCTTCGATTGACTAAAATTTAAACAATCCTTCATCAATTCACCCATGGTTTGGTAAGCATTCACATGCAAATGACGCTAAAAGAGAACAATAATTACATGACGAGGTGATAAGAGTTGGAAGAGCTTTTGCCAAACCGCTTTTGCCTTAAAGGTTTTATAATTGAATGGGTCATTTATAAACGTCAAGTTATGCAGTCCGAAGGAAATATAAAAACGCACCCGAGCTGTTTTCTTTCATTGTGTAATTTTTCTTTACAAGTCAAAGACCACTGTTTTGCATTAATTAAGGGCAAGTTTATGCGCCGGATTGGAGAGCGAAACTCCCGCCACATGTTCAGGGTTTTCGAACTTTTGCGATTGTTTTGTCTAAAATCCATTCTTTTGGCTTACCAGAGGAAGGAACTGGATCAATCACAAATTAAACCTGCTTCATATTTGAGTAATGAACTCAAGTCGCAGCTCTTATCAGTGCGTTAAAATAAGCTTGCCTGAGAATTTCATCGCGGTAGCTTTGCTCGCTAAAAGCACGACGTGATTAGGTCAGCGTGAATGAATTGCATAGACAGGAAACGAACAATTAAGAGACTATTGTATGTCATTTTATCAAAAGAGCTTTTGGAGCCATTTTACAATGGTGACTGCGAGGTTGTAAGAAAAATAGCGAGTTATAAAACAGGTGTATAATTGAGGACGTTGTTTATACTTCACACTCCATCGAATTTGCCTACTAGCAAGTGCATTTAATTTACAGCTCCAGTCGTAAATTCCAAAGATTCCCGTGGACACTGTTGAACTCGCGAAGAGAAGCAACTTTCGCTTTGCCTCGGTTTTGTAGAACTTATATCAGTTCCACGCGAGCCTTCACCCGTTTTCAGTATTTTTCCTCATACGAAAAGAAGGTTGTTTTATTTTACTTTTGAAACGCGTAAAATATTAATGAGCCGAGAGACTATTTTCTCGTTATCTTCTTCAACTTTTATTGTGAGTTGCGGTAAATATTGCGGACTTTTTGCGTTGATGGCTGCCAAATAACACTGCATCAGCACCTGCCGGCTTGAATGAAACTTGCGTTAAATTTTAATTCGTTAGTCGAAAAGGACGACTGTGTGCGCATAGATTTACCAACCGATCTCATCTCTAAGAGGAAACGCGAAATGGATGGCTGTGATCATTGACAAAAGGTTAGTAAAAACCCATTTTATTTTAATTTTTTTCCTTTGTTGCATTGGTTTTACTTCCTTTTCAGCCCCAGACAACCCCAGTCTAAATTCAGCCTTTGAGCAACTTCGGCGCGAACATGAAGGAATAAAACTCATGTCTATTTTTTTCTGTTAGTTTTAAACCTCTATTTGGTTAGTTTTCCTTTCGCTTTAATCAATTTTCGCAATTTCATCGCCTTTTATTTTGTTTAAATTGTAACGAATCCTGAAAACTTTGATCAAGAAAAATACTATATTCGAATTGCAGATTAAAACAGATGCCCAAAGCAATTTGTACTAATCAGTTATGCAGTGTTACCGAGGTTCAAATTGCCGCAAAAATGTATACTGCTTCATTTTATTAAACCATACGCATCGGAAAACAGGTTTTCCTTTCCAATATTATCACACTTTTAGCGCTAGATTAGCAGAGGGAAACATGTACTCGAGGAGAACTTACAAGTGTAAAACCAGAAACTAAACTTGACTAAAAATGGTTAACACTGTTGTTTAAAAAAGGGCGAATAACAGACGATTAAACTTTGAGAAATCGTTGCGTCTACTATTGTGAAGTACTTCTGCACTGTTCGTCTGCTCTTAATTCAGAAAACTTCGAAAATTATTCATTTGATAAAAATTCCTATTGTCTTTCTCATGTAAAACCGCGGTAAGACATTTAAAATCGAGCACGTATTCTTGGAATTGACACCTAGTTTTATTAGTTACAAAATAATTCAAATTTTGAATGGTTTACTGGATTATACAAATTTATTGAGAACTGAAAACCAAAGTCTCCACTAAAGCGTCTCTTTATTTGCTTCATCTTTACTCTTTCCCATAAATTGCAGTTGTTCGATTCATTTTTACTCAAGCCAAAAAATTATTAGTTGTAGAAGTTAAAAAGTGTGTGATCTCTCAGAACCAAAGTAATTAAAAATGCGGTCAAAGGATCAGCTTTTTTATTATTTTGTGGCATCGTAGAACTTTTACGCTCGTTTTAGAGACAAGGATATAAACGTGACTAGAAACGAGAGTTTTTAAGTAGCAAGATTCAGGGAACCTTGTCGAATGAATTCAGATTCAGATTTTGTATAAAACATAGTTTTAACAAAAGGGTTTTGTAGCGAATACATTAAAACTGGCGAATGACACCGCAATTTAATGAAATAATCATTCTTCCGAGTCGGGTTCTTTCTATTTTAAGAGTTTTAGAAAATTAAAATTTAAAATGTCTTGTTTTGGTTTCCGTTCTTACCAAACAGAAACAGAAAACGGATGAGTGCTACATACATTTTTCATTCGAGAAACGTAAATAAGTACAATCTTGAGAGGAAGGTTTCCAAACTTCCATCCTGATTTTTCAAAAGCAAGTCTGCTTTTTTCCTCTATTTGTTTGGTGGTTTTCATTTGTCAAATACGCCAATTTTGAACGCATCCATTTGGCAGATCAGTAAAGGAATATTCCAGATAGGGTAAAAGCTACGGAAACGGTTAAAAGATCCGAAATGGGAAAACAACTCAGAAATTTCTCACCCTTAGTTTTTAGTTATTTCATAGAATATTTGACCTGCAACAAATTAATATTAGCAATACATCATTAGTCTCTTGCTCGCCTTAATTAAGCCTGGAATTTTCTTGCGAGTGTTAATTAAAAGTGTGTTTTACAACTTTGGTTTCTTGGAGATTGACAACTTGTGCGCGGTAACGTGAGATCAGTATGTAAGTTCTCCTAGCGTTAAGTTACTGTCGAGGTTACATAAATGATGAGATGTCAAATTTGACCCTGAGGAGAAATAAGTATTTGATATAGCTCGAAAACACAGTGACCTAAGAATCCAAAGAAATACATTGAAATTTATGGAGAATTTCGGGTGAATACTATATTGGAAACGGAACTCAGCGAGAAAAACGACCTCAAAATTGGAAAGTACAGGAACTATGTACTCCAAAAATATCAACTGAATTTATCTAAACGCAATGTTATTTTGTCGGTCGGACGATTACTGAAGGAAGCTATAGCATTTGGTGTTTAATCAGCCGCCTAACGTTGATAACACAGATTACCGTAATCTTTGCTCAAGATCTAATAGACTGTCCCTAATATTTTTCATAGAGTAGACGTAGATATCCTTTGAATTTGCCTTTTTTTAACACTTTGGTTACGCAATTTTTTTTTTTTTTATGAAACATTCTACATCTGGTCTTTCCACACTCTGTAGGAAGTTGAAAAGGAACTAACCCCTGCAGAAATGAAAGAGGACTTTATCATTTAACTTTGAAAGCAGTTTGAACTTAACCGAGTCTCTCTGCTATTGATCAAACTTTCGCCATTGCAACTTGAATGGAGTCACTAGATCAGTTTCACTTTATTGTAAGTTTGTTTTCCTTTAATTTTACACCAACTTGAAACAAAGTCTTCGTATAGTTTGCTTGGGCACTGAGAATAGACAATTTTGTCCGTCTGTGTGTGAAGAATAACAAGACTTTGGTGTCTACAAATTGAAGTACCAGTGCTTTACGAGTGATATTTGCACACCTTTAGTGTTGTTTTGGTACACGTTGAACAAAATATTTGTGCATGCTAATAAATCGTTACAGTTTTATATCAAGTAGTGCGCAGCTATTTGGAAACACGATGTTCTAATTGAAGAACTAGAGTTTTCGATTTTGGTGTGATTTTTGTTCATTGGAGTGGAACAGTTAATCCTCTTGACGAATTATCGGAACGGATCGGTATCAAACGAATGGAGAAATTTCTCCCTCCATCTCTATCATCTGCAGGGTTTAAGTTGAACTAAAATTTTCCGCAATGAATAAGAAAGCCAAAGAATGAAATACTAGAAAGCGTGAGGGATGGAAGCCTTCGATTTGCACAAACTGTTCAAAACTTTGCAATTCTCTTTAAGCCGCCGTTTTGGCACAGTCGAAACTGTATTAAGCAGTCACCCGCTCGACACAGGTTCCACAGTTGCCACGGTTCGATACAGGGGGAGTACAATGCAAACAGGCAGTTGGGACCCAGCAAATAGAGGGGACCGCTAAGTAGAGGTGAAAATTACAGTAAAATTAGTCGTGAAAATTTAGGAACTTAAAAAAATCGACCGCTTACTACAATGTGATCGCTTAATACGATGCCGCTTAACACAGTTTTGACCGTATGTAGTTGTGACCCCTCTTCAATAAATAATTGATAATTTTCATTTGTCAATCAGGAATCATTTGAGAAAAGTGTTCCTTTAATTGAGTTTTAACAAAATCGTTCCGTCGAAATTTTGGATGCAAACTTTCGGGTAATCTTTTACTACTAACATTTTTCTCGGGTGTTTTTAACGCTTTATTTACGATGGTTTCTAAACTCTATGCTTCCCGACATTGATCGTTGTAGCTATGCCGGTTTAACTTCTATGTTCAATTAATCAACTACACCGTGTATCAGTGAGGGGTACAATTTTAATCAACTACAGAAATTCAGTGTTTTATTGTGAAGAAGTCGTGGGCAGACTTAGGTGGGTATTAAAGAACCACCCAGGTCTTAAAACTAGTACCCCGTTTTTGAGAGAATTTGCATTCAAAAGGAAAATTAATGATTAACGCGCTGTTTTAGAAATAAACATGTTCTGGACGTTATTGTTTACGAAGAGTTACCTGCCACGTGCTGCGCAAGGGTGTAATAGTTTGTTCGTAATATCAGTTCCTGGCACGTCCTAGTAAACAATTGTAGTTGTTTTCTACAAATGATTAAAATCGCTGCTAATAATTTGAAGCTCTCATTATTTCAAAATGGTGTACCCTTTTCGGAAATTGCTCCAATTTTTTAACTCAATCAGCGGGTCATTTATGATCAGGAGTTTGCAGAACAGCCCTGTGGGTCGGTGTATGTGTGCTTTGGTACATTTCTTACGTGTTAGCATCAGATTTGGGGACTGCAATCCCATTCAGAAAATCTACTTAAATCTAAGTGTGAATAAAAGTAAAAACTTAGGGCAGTTTCACCAAAGCTACAAATGTCTGGGAGCAGGGGAGGGGGGGGTTGTTTGATAAAGGGTAGTGGGACAGCTGCTCTAACTTCGGTTCCGCACGAGAGTATATTTACTCGAGAACTTACTGAGTGAAAAAAAAGTTATTTTTTGATCAAACAATTAAGAAAATCAGGGGTTATATTTAGATCGTGTTCATTAGGTCTGAAACACTGAACAGATTACGAGAACTTCTCGGCGGAAGTTCCACCTTATGTTTCTCTAATTACGCCTTGCCGTTGAGAGAAGCACTTCGCTCAGCAGAAGTTTAAACTCCTTAATATTTCTGAAAATTTTTACTATTCTTGATGGGAGAATTTTACCTTAGATCATCTTGGTCTTTTTGACCCGTGTTGCGGGGTTGGAGTATATCTACGGTTCTTGAACTTTGGGCTCAAATTTTTTTTTCACATCAAATATTACAAGAGTTTGTACTTTCTACAGCACGAAGTTAACTTTTTTTTTCGTGTCAAACCGAATGCCATTTTAGGACTTTCAGAAGGCCAAGGTTATTTTTCTTTACCTGAATTAATTCCTATGATCTAAGACTTCAGACCACTCCAAGCAAAGCATTTTGAGTCTTTGCCAATTTGATTAACTTTGACGCTTTCCCAAAAAACAATTTTTATAATCAAGCGAACTTGCACGCCACAAAAAAGCGGTCTGGAGGGTTACTAATTTATTCAAGATTTCATTTAAAACGCCACGCTATTTTTGAAAATAAGTGTAATTATTAAAAACTGGATCATTGGATAATGCAATTGAAGACTTTTTATTGGCTTAGCCATTATGGTATATCAGCCAATATACCATAATCTACAAATATGGTAAGCGTACGCATCAGCTTAAAATCAAAAGGGAGCTAAAAAATCCAGTTTCTTCTTACAAAATAATAATTTCTTGGGGGCGTTTTTAATAAAACAATTATTCCACTCGCGCTTGTTGGATATGAGATGATTATAGCCAACTCGGCGCTACGCGCCTCGTTGGCTATCTATCATCTCATATCCAACGCGCGCTCGTGGAATAATTGTTAATTGCGACGTTCTTGCGGTCTCGGGCAACACCCGCGCTTCCCGAAGTTGGCGCCGAACAAACATCATCCATTAAATTTTGCCTGTTAATTACCGCGTTCGAAGACACCTGTTTTGTTAAGTTCAGAAGCCTTAGAAGTTTTGCGTGGATTTCTTAAGGAACCGCCCTTAACTGAAGAAAACAAATACCTTGGAAGACTGAAACGTTTAGCTTCCAACCTTTGGGTACGGTACCTTGTGAGAGAACTGCGTATTTGGAGACTCCTTAGTGGGCGCTTATATGTTCTTACACGTTTGCGTGGGGAAACAACTACGATGGCATATCGGCAATCTTGTTAGAAGTGCAAAGACGTCATCGCGGGCAGAAAAAAAATCAAAACAACGTTGACCTGAGGGAATAAGATATTTAAAAATGGATTTGGCATATGGCATATTTTTTCTCGCGCTTTTTTAGGGAAAATGTTTGTAGCTTTTGAAAAATCTTCGTCGTGACCGGCCGTTGTTCTGTTTAACCAGCTTGAGCAAAACCACTTGATCAGAGTTGAGGCGAATAACGGGAATAGCGTTCAATTCTATGGGGAAAATGGTGAAGAATATACAGACGGGGAGGTATTCAAAGCGAATATTGTGTGGTTTTCCCCTTCTTCTTTTCATTAACCTTTTAATAAAATTCTTGCTCAAACGAACTTGATAATTATTTTTGAGTCCAGAGCGTTCCGATTTGAATATGCCAGTTCAGGTGTAATTTGAGCAGTTCAAGGAAAATAGCGGCTCCCCCGCTAGCCTGCAATTGAAAATAGGAAATTACCTTTGGTCACAGCAAACTATGTATTAATTTGTCTCTCTTTTTAATATTTTAGCTTCTTACATAAACCACTGATTGGTAAGGTCAAAAATAGGCTCTACCTTGATCGCTGTACACAAAGTTACATGTGATTGAAATGACCTATGAAATTTTCTCTTCCAGAATTTTGTAAAGGACTGAACAGTTGTCAAGGACTTCATTTTGCAGAGAAAAAAATCTTCAGAATATTTTGAACAAGATGCAAGGTTAAATCTAAAAAGGCTTTTGTAGACTGAAAATTTTTTTTGATACCAGCGACTGGCTGTTGCAGTTTCAAGGAACGGAGAGGACATCGTGAAACGTTTCTTCACTGATATTTGACCTGAGACGAAACCTTTTTCGGCATCAGTTGTTTAACAGCCGTTTGGAAAGCTGAATGTTTGAAATACTTCAGAAAGAAGCCAAAAAGATCAATCATTTCCGAGACGTGTAATTCAGAATTCTCAATCTCGTATCGTGCTGTGCATTTTGAGTAATTGAAACAGTTGATTGTTTTCGTATTTCGGAAAAAAAAATCAAAAAGTGGATTAAAAAGGACTTATCGCCAAGAGATTGAAGATCGCAGACAATGGGCCGATGTTTGTGAAAACTACGAAAGTTCGCATTTCGGGAAAAATCTTTATCGTATGAATAACTTTCGAATGAGATATTGCAAATAAGCACACCCTCGAAAAAAGCTGGAAACTTGAGCAATTACTGTCTTCGAAAAGGAAGAAGCACCACTGAAAAGTGAGAATTTTGTCATTAATTGCTTCAACTCAGCCTTATGGCAATGGCTGTCGCTACAGCAGTTACACTCAGCTATCGCCGTTCACGCACCACGTCACGTGACTGGGCTGTCGCCAACTCGATACCAGTTGGCGTGGTGGACACATCGTTAACTGAACCAATCGTGATCAACATTGGCGGGAAAAAATACGAGACTTACGAGAGCACGCTAAACCAGTTTCCTAACACGCTGCTGGGAAATCCTGACAAGCGCAAGAAATATTTCGACGAGAAAAACAACGAATACTTTTTTGACCGACATCGCAGCTCCTTCACGGCCATTCTGTATTATTATCAGTCGGGTGGTCTGTTAGAACGGCCTTTGCACGTGCCACATGATATTTTCCTAGAGGAATTGAACTTCTTCCAGTTGACAGACGACATGCAGAAGGAGAACGAAGAGGCTGCAAACTGTGAAGTCGACGATGGCGGACAGGACGATGACGACGAAGAAGAACTTCCAAAGAATAGAACCTTACGAGCAATTTGGCTCGTATTCGAGAACCCAAATTATTCCGTCTGCTCCAAAGGCTTGGCTATATTCTCGCTAGTAATTATCTTGCTCTCGATAGTGATATTCTGCGTGGAAACAATGCCTGTTCTGGATGATTCCGTTCCTGTCCAGAAGCCCCATAATGGCACAATACGTCAGCCGGCCGAGCGCGGAAAAAACAAACACGTGTTCTTCGTGTTGAACGCAATCTGTAGTTCGTGGTTCACGTTTGAGTATGTGATTCGTCTCATCGCATCGCCCAATAAGATTCGATTTCTTAAAGCGATTCTGAACATCTTAGATCTGCTGTCGATTCTTCCATTTTACGTGACCCTGGTTGTGCCAGAGGAGTCAGCGGGCAGTATTGATGTTCTCCGAGTGATGCGAGTGATCCGCGTGTGTCGAATCTTCAAACTGACGCGCCACTCAAAAGGTTTGCACGTGTTAGGGAAAACTCTGTACGCTAGCGTCAACGAGTTGATAATGTTAATGCTCTTCCTGGTCATTGGAGTCATACTGTTTGCAAGCGCCGCGTATTACGCCGAGGAAAAAGAAAATGAGGGCTTTAAAAGCATCCCACACGCATTCTGGTGGGCTGTTGTAACCATGACAACGGTAGGATATGGAGACATCTATCCTAAGACTACAGTTGGTAAGTTGTGTTAGCTAATAAACTACGTATGAAGTCCTAAATACTTTTTGTTCAGGCCTTGTACGAATTCAATAACTATTTTTGGAAAGTTAATCCAAAGGTTGTTATTTTGATAGCTTTGCTTCATTTTTTTTTTTTTTTCGCTTATTTAATGTGTTCCTCCGTTTCCGGGACCAAAGCACCAAAAAAAACGTGTTCGCGATTTGCCATATTCAATTTCAGTGAAAAGTTACAGAACATTTTTTAAATAGGATTAAAAAAATGTGGAGTGATCGTACAAAAAACGCTCTCGAAAAAAAAGTATTTAGAAATAAAAAATTCGGAGACACGTTTTTGTTGTTTATATGTAAAACTAGCTACTCTCAAAAGTTGAGAGCAATCGAACAATTGCAAATTCCCTTTGACTTGCAGCTCTTAAAAGGTGATTCGGGCGCTCGCATTTAGAAGTCGTGAAAAATTCGACAATTAATTTTTTTTCAAATTTTTTGGTCTAGTCTGATAGCCAGTCCTATTAGCTTTAATTTGATATAGGGGTTTAAATATCTACAGTTTAAACCGGACGCGCTACATCGCTTGCACGCGAGACACCCCTGAAGGTGCACGGTGACCTTAAGAAGATTATACAAGGCAAAAGCTTATCTAACAAAGTAACAGCAGACTTAGTCGCTCCCATTGCTTGCGGCGTAACACTGAGATTTTGTCGCCGAGAAAAACTGCCACAGTTAACCCTAAGTGCCCGTGAGTGACCAAGACAGAATTTTTCCTGGCAATATCAATACGATACCATGCTTTTAAAGGGATGAGAAGAAAGGACAATAGCAGTTATAGGATTATTGGTTGATTAAATACCAACTGAAATTATCCAAACTAATATTAGGAGAATCGTTTACCAGACAGTAAAGAGAATCACTCACGAGATCTCGGGGTGAAAGGGTAAATATATCTTATTAACCAAGCGCGAGGGCCGTACTGGGAGAATATCGGCCCGAGGTCTTGACAGTTTGGACCTCGCTGGGCTCGGTCCGTACAAAAAAGACCAAGGGCCGATATTCTTCCAGTACGGTCCCGAGCAAGCTTGGTTAATAAGAGATTTATTATACGACTGAAGTTCAAAGGGACACAAGTGCGGTATCATTCGGGACCATTGGGGACAGTGCCCGGTCCAATACTGAGAGAATATTGACCGGCAACAGAGCATTTTGATTGGTTGATTTTAGTTATTGGCCCTCTGACTGCCCGAGTCGTGTAATAAAACTTGTTATTTGCTCGTTTGCAGGTAAATTAGTAGGGGCCGTGTGCGCCCTATCGGGAGTACTCGCCATAGCTCTTCCTGTACCAGTCATCGTCTCTAACTTTGAATTTTACTACAAAGAGGAACTAAGCAATCGAGAGAATGCCGAGTCAGCGGTGTCATACAAGAACCTGAATAGCTTGGTACCAAAGTCGCCGATGTTAGAGCACAAGTTACTTCTTGATTCCGCTGCCGGCACACCCACGCACTCGGCCAAGTTAGAAGTTAATCCTGGGCACTATTCCAGTCCATTATTAACGCATCGTATAACAAACGGTGCCATGAAGTTCGGACATGATGCAATAATTGAGACTGATGAGCTCAGCTCTGGTGGGGGTGGAGGAAGCGGCTCGAAACCATCGACTCCAATCAATCGAAGGAAGCAGCAGCAATCTGCTCCACCTAGATCAGAAACAGTCCTATAGATCGTGCAGGGAAATATGTTCCGATATGTCTTAGAGGCCAATGGAACTGAAATGAAAACATTTGTGACTTTTGATGACATTTCAAATGTCTACCAGGCAAATAGGAGCAGCTGTGTTCAGTCCTCTCTGTTCTACGCGTGCGTGAATACGAAGGAGACACCACGGCAGACCACTGTTACGCTATGTTGTGCTACTAAAGTTATAGTTTTTAACAGAAGAGGATTCCCCGATGAGCGAAGACAATTGAAAATATAATTGCTAGTGTATTTTCGCCTTCCCTTTGGCTGTGTGTAAAAGTTAGAGAAAGTTTGAAGCGCGTGAGTTCTGGTTAACCTTTTTTTACGCCGACTTCAGTATCACGAGCAAAAGGACAGCCGTTCCACCTAAAATATGCTCTCGCTTGATTTTAAGGCTAAAAACCTGCGGACAGAAACGAACATGGAGATAGGGGCGTGTACTACGAATGAGAAATCGTAAGTCTATGAGAAAACACAAGCAATCAGAACTAGCTGAATAAAAAATCTTAACGAACTCGCAGTAAAACAAGCAAGCTCAGCTGCTCACTGATGAATAAAGGCTGATAGTTTCTAAAGAACTGTTTGGGGCTGCGTCGGTGGGGGTAACGAAATAATTTGAATATATCAACAAAGTTGAAATGGTAAATGGGCCACCGTTACGATTATAAAAGCTGACGTTTCGAGCGTTAGCCCTTCGTCGGAGCAAATAGGGGAATTGTGGGTTGTGTGTGCTTTTAAAGGCAGAAAAAAGAGCTACGTGATCGGTGATTGGAGCTACGTGATTGTTACTAATTTATTCGTGTTTTTCTCGTTGCCATGTTCCTACAAATCACGTAGCTCCTTTTTCTGCCTTTAAAAGCACACACAAACCCACAATTCCCCTATTCGCTCCGACGAAGGGCTAACGCTCGAAACGTCAGCTTTTATAATCGTAACGGTGGCCAATTTACCATTTCAACTTTGTTGATATATTCAAATTATTTCACTCGCTCACTGTTACCCTTACGACACGCGGCAGCTCGTTCGCAGGCTGCCTGAAGTATCTATTGTCTTAGTCTGCTTTATTTACGGAGCAACTTATTTCGTTCAGCAACAGCAACGAAATTTTAACCGTGTTTGAAGTTCTAGGGAGCTGTAGAACACTGTTCAGTAATACGATGGTTATGCTGTTTAGGAACGCAGATCTTCGGAAAATTTCGTGCTGTCCGACAGTTACCGATTACTATCAACCAACGTCGCCACTGCGGGAACAACTCTGAGGAGGGTCGGAACTTAATTTTTCTTTCTGTTGCTAATTAAATTCATAATCCAGAGTGTAAAAACGTTTCTGAATGGAGAACACCTGCCACGGGTAATGCAGAGTTTGTTGGGGCTTTTGGTTCTCAAAAGCTGAAGAACACTTCGTGCTATTAGGCTGAGGATAGAAATCCGTGTGGTGGCTTCTAGGTCACGTGGTAGCTGATCACGTGCTGAAAGAATCGAATTGATCGCACAGTGGAAAGAAATGACGTGTTATAGACTTCTTACGTAATTCGTGCTGGAGGATAACATAACTATCATGTTGGGATTCCTTGTTCTAAAGCAACGACTTTGCTTTGTTAGTACAAATGATACTCGTGACCGTATGGAAAGCATGTTTCTGTCGAAACTAAGTTTCGGTTTGCAGTAAAACTGCATGTTTACGGCCGCCGTTGGGACACGAAGCTTAGTATGGTCCTAATAACGGTGCTGCTAGATTGACTTAATTGTAAAATAAGAAAATGAGTTAGTCCGCAGTAGGGCAGGAATTTTCTGTTAAAAGCTCTCCTCATTTTTTTCCATTTTTAAGGTAAAATAAGATGCAAGAAAACTAGAAGCTCTGTTTATTTTCAGAGGTTGAGGAGTCTTTAATGAGTGCCGGTCGAAATATATCACATGAAATATCTGCTTTTGTTGCTTGGCAATTAAGCTTTCTATCAACTGACACTGGGCGAAAGTTTTAATATAGTTAATACAAGCTGATTGTTTTTTTTTTCTAGGTCAGACGCTGTTTGTAAAACAAATTTAAAGATTTACAACTTTGAATCAAAAACTACGTCGAGAAAAAGATTTTGGCGATTGATAAGTTAAAACGCACCAATTTACCAGAGTTATTCCCCACCTCACTGGAATATCTCCGAATGAGAGCGGTACATGTACATAACTGAGGCCTCTTTCAAGCGTAAAATAACAAGGTCTTCCATTAGTTAGACGTCGATAACCTCAGCGAACTCTTTATTTCATTTTTTTAAGTAGTTTCATCTTAAATCGACGTCGATCAATGCGAAGATCCAGCTGCCGGATTTCCCTTTTTAATATTCACGTTTGGACTAGGCCCTTAAGGATACGCTTTAATTGAATGATACCTGACAACGATTGTAAAAACGCTTTAAGTGTTTTGATAAATACACAGGGATATTTGAAGAGAACCAGCGACTTGCATGTTGGTATATTTAGAACCTGAATAATAAAAGATAGAGAGAATATCACAGTGGCCTGGCTTCATTGTCGATTTACTCTCCTTTCCTTCTTAGGCTTCCGCGCGTATTTTACCGATACCTGCTGTTGTTGTCGCTTTATAAGACTTGCTGAATCATTTCACTTATGCAAAAGTGGTCTAAAAAACACTTCTCTCATATCCGTAATTACACATTTTACACCACGATGAATTGCATTGTTTTAAAACTCATTTCGTTGTGAAATGAGAAAAGAGCTAATTTTTTTCCTTAATATCCTTACTCGAGTTTAAAGCCCTGCGCTCTGGGAACCAACAGCCTTTTTTACCAAGGTCACCATTATATACCTTAATTTTTAAGGCTCAAAAAAATCCCGAATACTCTAATCAAAGAACATTGCATGTGAGCAAACTCATCCCACAGAGCCATGAAATAAAACTTTGATAGAGAAACAACAACAAAAACATGACGATACTGGCTCTGAACATGTCTAAGAAACAGCTGCCTGGAGACTGTGTTTTTGCCTAAAATATAACAGGTGTTGGAGTACAATAACTGTTACTTGACGACAAAACAGATCTTATTATGTCGCGATTTTGTTAACGTATAATAACATTATGGGTGAATCTCAACAAACCAGTATGTTAATCCCCTTTAGTCATTACCCAATCTCTGATTGAGCTCACCTTTGCTGTTTCCCGATCATTTGCATGTCGTATAACCTGCAGGTGATTTAGTGTTATATTGTTGTCAGGAAGGGCTTTCCGCACGAGTTATGAGCAGTCTTAATTTGATTCAGAGCTTCGCGTTGTCGCAGATGTCATTTCAGATTTTTAGCTGTGGAATCTTTTTTTAAACCAGCTCGGGATGCAATACTACATGTTCTACGAAGGGTATCTCCTGAGAGTTAGCTTTCCTCTCGCCGTGGTCTTCATTGTGTTTGGTATTTATACAGTTGTGGGAAATGTGCTCGTCTGCTGTGTATATTTTATTGACCCGTTCAAAAATCTGCGGACCTTGTCGTTTTATTACGTGGCGAATTTAGCATTAGCTGACATCTTAGTCGGTGTAGTTGTGGAACCTCTCAATGTGTCTGTTTATTGGACGGGGAGTGAGCCTGCCTTGTTTGCCTTCTATATCTTTGCAGTGTTATCATGTATTAGCTCCATTCTTAACATTTCCGCCATGATGATAGACCGTTACATTGCAGTTAGCCAAGCGTTTCGCTATCGTGTTTTGGTGACGGAGAAGCGCGTGCGTCTTTCCGTCGTCTTTTTGTGGCTTTATTCGTTCCACTTTTCGCTGTTAGCGCTGCTGGGCTGGCGCCAAGAAAGCTTCCAGATTTATTTGTACTGTTGTGGAGTTCTCCTTCCATCTGCCATAATGCTCTTGTCCTATTTCGGCTTGATTCGAATTCTCTGGAAGAAAAGTGCCAAGCTTCGGAGATTTTCGTCTCGTTGTCAAAGAACCGCGCAGGCGAAAAAAATGGTAGAAAAAGAACGACGAGTTTCAACAACAGTCCTTGTTATGTTGCTGGTTTTTCTCACTGCGTGGTTCCCATTCGTAGTGGTTGATTTTATTTTGGTATTTTGTGCGCATTGTCGATCACAAAATCTTCTACTAGCGAGGGACATTACTTTATCCTTGGGGTTTTTCTCCTCTGGACTTAACCCCCTGCTGTATGCCTGGAGAGTCCGCCGATTTAAACAGGGACTTTTTAAGATCATAAAGTTCCGAAGGGATAGTGTTAACTTAAGGTCACCGCGACGCCCGTCCAAGGTGGGACCGTTTGTTTCAAACTTCTCTTTGGCCGTGGTAGAGTTGAATCCTATATCACCTCTCGACTTAGCGAATGACGCTCCTTGTGATCGACGTCCGACATCTACAAGGACAAGAAGTACTTCTCGTTCGTAACAGTAATCAGCAAGATGAACATTGTTGGTTCGATGGCATTGGATGGAAGCCGAAGAGAGTCGAGCATGGCGAAATCGAGGATCGTCTCTTGGGGACTGGGATAAGAAATATTTTATTGCACTATAAGCTAGGCTCATAAAGAGCTGCATATTTTAAGCGCAAAACACCTGAGAAGACTTCGAAAGGTCTTAAGACCAAGATAGATATTGAGAAGAGCAAAGAACTTTCAGAGGTCTCCAGGCTTTTTCCAATGGCCCGTTCAGATAGGATATATGGAAAGGGACACAATAAAATAATAACAATCTAGGGAAAAATACAAAGGAAAAAACCAGATGTGCAGCAAACAAATACTTAGAGGCAGCTTGGTGTAGGTTTGATATGTAAAACAATTAGCGAGAATTTTTGTCATTGGGATTTACTTGACGACTTTAGAACACTTCAAATAGACTTGTTCAATAACTTATATATTCATCTCCTTTCTTTTATCGCCTTTTGCTTTGATAAACAAGTTAAGTTATCCGAGGATTTGTGTTGCTTTTTACCGAAAAAAATATCTATGTAGCGCTAGCTTTTTGTTGAAAACCAAAAAAATCGATTTCCAAGAACAGATTCTGTAGATTTATAATAATAATAATAATAATAATAATAATAATAGTGACCTTTATTAGTATACTTCCACATAGTGGCTCTTCGCTACCAATATAAAAACTAACTATATGCATAATACTCACAATAAATCAAAATTGATAAAAAAAACTATACTAGATTATCCATTGCATGTCAGTATGTGTCTCTTAAGATTTATACAAAAAAGTGCATGGTCACTGCAATTCCTTAGCTCCGCAGGAAGCTTATTAAAAGCTTCTGCAGCTTGATCTTGTAGAGTGTTCTTCTCAATTTTGTTGGCAAGTTTTAATTTTGGTGCAGCTAATGACCTAAGACTATATATATTTACGACGTGTTGCTTGAGTTTTAGTGGAAAGTCCTCATTGTATAATGACTTGTGCGCTAGCTTAGCTATATTAAATTCTAAACGCTCTTTGATTGTGAGCCAACCTAGGTTTCTAACATCCTGGAGTCCAGCAAATTTACTTAACACAAAACCCGCACACGTGTTCTGTACTCTTTGAAGGCGTTTGGTCTGGTACTCTGGGATAGGACTAAACACAACGTTGCAATAATCCAGTTTAGAGAGTATAAGACTTTCCACCAGTCGTTTTCTTATGTGGTATGGTGCGAAGTTTTTTAGTTTCCGTAGTACTGCTAAAGCACCTTAACACGATGACAACAGATTCGTTGTGTGTTCTTGCCATGTTAGTTCCTGATCCAGATAAACTCCTAAAAGCTTGGTGCTTGAGACTTTCTCAAGTTTAGTGTCACCGCAGTATACATCTGCAGAAAAATAATTTAAAGAGTGTGCGCGCGCCAATTGTCTTGTAGAGAGAAGCATCCATTTCGTTTTTTCTGAATTCAACGCCAGATTGGACGATTCAGAGTAACTGCTCAGGCCTTCAGAGTAACTGCTCAGGATTTAAAGCGTGCGCGAACGACAGGTAGCCAAGAAATTATGTACATTTTATTTCAAATCATCGCTTTTGCTTTATTAAAAAAAGTGAAGTGGACATAGAAATATAATACGGTGAAGAAGACATGGAAATAAAATAAGGTAGTAGTAGTAGTAGTAGTAGTAGTAGTAGTAGTAGTAGCAGTAGTAGTAGTAGTAGTAGTAGTAGCAGTAGTAGTAGTAGTAGTAGTAGTAGTAGTAGTAGTAGTAGTAGTAGTAGTAAAACTTTATTGAAAGTGTCAAGAGCCGTCTAACTAGGGAAAAATCCCTTACTAATTTGGAGACACTAAAAAAGAAAAAAGACTAGGTGCTATTTACAGTAGTATATATATTAAAACTAATAGGGATATGAGGGAATATATTTATTCGTATCGTAATAGTTAAAATATCTATTCGTATCTTTGGAATTAAGAATTGTTGCAAACCTTAAATTTGAGCTGTATACATATTAAAATCTTCTCTCTTTGTTGGCTGTATACGTTGCGACAGAAAAACTTTGTTTGTTTTGAACTGGCATATTATTCCTTGCGGTATTTAACCTTGTGGTACGCCTTTATGCTACAAATTGATGAGAGTTCATTAACGCTTGACTGATGATTGTTATATCATTTTAACCTGTGTTAGTTTTTATTTGCTGGCCGCTTTCTTCGCCTTCGAGTAATTTACGAAGTTCCAGTGCTCTTGAATGTTGCGAAAACACAAAGGTAGGAAGTGCGTACTTTTACTTAACTCTTGTTCGATCAGTTTATCTCACATTTTTTTTCCAAAAGTTATAATAGCTTTCCCGACCTGTTGGCTCAAAACCTTAGATATGAATTTCTGTTGCTCAACAAAAAACAAACATTAATGAGCGCGCTTGAAGTACTGTCGGCAGAATGATTAACCCGGTTAATGCGTTTGGATATGATTCTCGGATAAGGACGTACGAATAAACCGTAGACCCCGTCTCCTGCAGGGTTAGGGGTAGGAGACGTTAATTTCCCACGCACGTAGCCTGTAGAGCAGGCTTCCTCGTGGAGTTTGGGCGAAAATTGGGACTTCCCTTCGAATAATTATCTTGTTGTGTCCTTACTTAGTGGTTTTATTACTGCTATTTTATAATTGACACATGAATAAAGTTCATCATAAAAAGTTCATCATCAATAACAACAGATTTTGACAAGCAACGGAAGTGAAAATCCACTTCCGTCGCGCCACCTGATTGGCCAATTGTTTGCGCATTATCGTTATTCGGGCATATCTAATTAGGGGGCGTTTTTCAAATTTTCTAGTGCTGCTGGCAGGTGTTCCCTTCTCTCCTCTCCCCCTCCCCCCACCTTCTAATTGTTCTCCTCGCTCCTTTTTACGCGCGGTCTGGAAAATAAAACAGAAAGCCCAAAGTCCTAATTTTCGCCCAAACTCCACAAGAACGCCTGCTCTGCAGGCTACACGCACGAGATTACTGTGTGGTGGATGTCCTCCTGGGATGGGCGGGAAGGTGAGATCGTTACATGGACTGAAGCGGCTGCCAGAGGCGCCTGATAATGCTGACGTCCGATCTCAACTTTATCATTGTAACTAGGCACGCTTGTTGCCTGGAGTGCTTAAGACTCTCTTCTTTCTTTCTTCATGATTATGTTAAGGAAAATGAAAGAAATTAGAAAGTAAACATAGAGATTCGAGCGAGGGCAACAACAAACTAGTGGAAGTAAACAATTTATAAATTTGGAAAAGTAGACAAAAAAAATTAGGGTACTTTTGAAATAAATATTCAATCCGTGATCATAAGCTAGACAGCGCTTTTTCGAACTTGTTCTCAAAGACTTCTCGGTTTGTGCGAAAACAGGTTGCAAGTGATCCGAGAAAAAGGAATATTGACCACTCAGCATCATTCATTAAGGAAGTAACTAAAAGAGAATTTAAAAAACCAGACGAAAAATAGATGGAGAGAAGAAGCAGTAAATATTGCGTGCTGTGAAATTGTTTTCGAATGAAATTGAGCAGGGATTTAATCTTGATTTGATTTTCATCTCTGAGGGATGCTAGTACTTCAACAACAGAAAAATCCAATCAGGAAATCTTTTAAGTTACTAAATGATATATGTTATTTACCTCTTGCTCATACACTTCTCTGCGAGTAAACGCCAGGCGCGCAAGGGAGGATGGCGAGGTGAAATTTGATTGTTGCGCGCTTTCCTGAACCTCCTTCCCATAGTCCCTTGTGCCTCACACTCATCACCAGTCGCCTGTTGAAGTCGCTCTTGAAAACGCCCGCGTTAGGATATAAAAATTCGCAATTCGCGCGTTCTTTTTTGTCCATCCTCAAGGAAAGCATTGATGTTTAAAACATCGAGGATATGAAGACTGTAAAACAAGGTCACAGAGTGAGCAAGAGATTTAAGTATATGATTATATGAGTATATGTTTCTGGCAAATAGATCTCCGCAAACGGAATATCCTTATCAAATTGGAAGGATAAGGCGAGGACCGTATGGTATACAAAAAGAATTGAGATAAGGATACATTAGGGTATAGTGGCTTTGAGCCAACTCAGTGTCTTCGTCGTTTCACAATTCATAACAAATATGGTCTTCATGGGATCTTTATGAGAATGATAATAATAAAAAAAGACCAGTATCATCAGCAAATAGGCGAGTTTTTTATTACTACACTAGTTGCATTTGAGACGTCATTAATATATAGACAATAGTTAGATTAAGCACCGCGAAAACGGCGAACGCTGAACCTCGGCTAGCCGATTGTCGTTTGCCGTTCCGCCCGCGAAGTTCGTCTGTTTAAGCTTCCCGACGACACGGTAGAACAAATGTTCTCGGTCGCCAGTCACTGCGACTAGAAATAATGGATACAAAGAAGCAATGTATTTTCCACTTGAATTTGAATTCTATTTGCTTTACAAGCAGTTCATATAGAAGTAAGATGATAAACGAAGCTTAGTTATAAAAGCAAGCGATCAAAATGTAGAAATAGCGGTAAAAATGGGCTGCAAATACTCACGTTTTCGTGTTCCCTATAAACGGGTAAAATGTCCTCCTCGAGTAGAAACGGCGGCCGGCAAACGGCAAACGCGGAAATATCAGGTCACGTGACCCTCTCTGCCGTTCGCGGGTAAAAATATACGTGGTGTTTAATCTCTCTAATAATTAATTAAAAAGGCGGCGAGGGCCCAACCCTGATCCTTGCGGACTACAACATGTAAATGGTTTCAGTTGCGAGTAAGCTGTACGAAAATGAACGGGATCATATTTATTGTGGATACTCTCGACCGATGTATCGGTCAATAGAGAGATTTAGCACCGCGTTTCAGTACGTGAAACAGCAAACGTCAGCTTGCCCTTTCACGTTTCACATAAAATAGCGTGAACATGAACCCTGCTGCTTTAGCTTCGCGGGAGTTCACTTCATGGTGGATTTAAAGGCGCCTTGTATGACCTAGAAGGAATAGTTTTGGCGCCCTTTTTCCGGCAATTAACTTGTACGCTGTGAGAGAAAAAGTGAAGAAAATCTTAGTACACGGCAAACGCGAAACAGATTACTTTCACGTAGAAACGGCAAAGTGCAACCAGCAAACGTGAAAAAATGGCGGGAAAAACAAGGTCACGTGGTCACTCTTCCCGTAAACGTGGTACTAAATCTCTTTTATATCGGTCGAGAGTCGGTCGATACTCGATCGATATGTGCAATTTTAGATAGCAAGAAATCCATTGATGAGTATGCAAAAGTGTGCCCATCCAGATTATGGAGCAAGATGCAATGATTAATAGTGTCAAAAGGTTTAGAAGAGCTTGAAAAACCTTGGCGCGGCAGTTGTCTCTCTGCTGTCTATCACAAAGCATTGTGATTATCCAGTTGAATCAAGGCCATTGAGGTCATTGAGATGGAGTGATTTCCGCGAAAGCCACACTGACTACCGTTCAAGAGATCATGATTGCAATAGGTCTAAAATTCATAGGCTAGAAGGCTAGAAGATTGGAGATAGATCAATAATTTTTAAACCTTTCAGGATCACCAGTGTCGGAAACAGGATAATTAGTATTGTAGCGATTGAAAATTATCTGCCAGAAATCTAGTGTCACGATCTGTCCGCTCCGATAAATCAGTTTGTTTGTCTTTGTTGGGAAGAACTTTACAGCCAATCAACTTAACGTTTTGATCAAGGTGTGTTCATGAGATAAGAAAGTCATTGTGAGTAGTTTTTAGTCGGCAAGAAACTTCGCGTAACGTTGTTCTGTCTCCTTTTTTGAGAAATAAATTCTGGAAGAGAACAGTGACAGTGTGGGCTTCTCACTAATTCCCCACACCAGATTTGAAGATGGGAAAAACTTTTGCTATTTGGAGGGCTTCCGGAAAATAGCCACCCTCTGAAGAGAGGGTTAATGATTGCAGTTAGGACTCAGCAATAACATCAATAAGTAGTTTAAAAATTCTCATTGGGATGTTGTCAACCCCAGGAGCTTTATCAGAAGCAGATCAGATTGTTTAAATTTGAAGAGTAGTCGCAGGTAGTTTGGGAAATATGAAATGCCGGAATTCGGATCCGGAACTGGAATACTTGGAATACCCGGAATACCCGGAATTCCCGGAATGACCGGAAAAATAACAATTTTCACAAAAATAAAAGTAAATTAACAGATAAATAAGAATATTGATGATTAAAAATTGATGGTAAATTCACAACTTAATTAAACAATTTAAACGAAATTTTTCTCTGAAGGTCCCAGAAAATACTTACCGGCACTGTTCATGGAGATGCACGTATTAGAATTGAAAAAAAGTCTGCGTCAGGCCAGTAGCCCATACAGCCTAAGCGACGAAATATTTGTGCTCTCCCTTCCCCCTCGGGATGGGATGCTAATCCATCACATGGTTTCTCCCCGTTTTAAATTCACCTCCACTCATTTACACACCTGTAGGATGTCTAGGGCGCCATGACCATTTGGCCGCCACGCTTTTCCAGCCGGAATCAATGCAGAAGATTAAGGAAGCAAATGCAATATTTCCAATTAGTTTAATAGTTCAAGTGTAAAAAGCTCCAAAGTATTACAAATAAATACTATACCTTAAATAATCATTAACCACACATTGGGAGCTATCAAAGCAGCTACCATTAAGACCAGCCGTCGGCCGTCTGCAGTTAAAATTGAGAGACCGTCAGTTACTCGACACCTTTTCGCGTTTATTATAAATACCTTGAATGTATACCTTTGAATAAAAACCTTGTTTAGAAGAATCTATCAGTACAGAAAAAGGAGCAGATTTATTCACGAGGGCACAGAAGCCAAATTTTCAATTCCCACACTCACTGTTAATCTTTTCACATTCTCTTAACCTTTTGAGGTGACTAGCATTTAATTCCCCTGACAATATCATCCCTGGATCACACGTTAAGGTCACAAGAATAACAGAAAAGATCACGAAATAAAGAAGCTCTTGATTGTTAAACAAATTCCTCTTGTCCGCACCCAAGGAAACGTATAGAGAACAGTATGGAGAATATCGACAATATGCATAACGATGTTAAGGCGTAAAGAGCTCATGATAGTTTTAAAGATAAGGTTACAGACGCATGGCTTCCGATGACCTCAACTCAAACTTTCTAAGTCTATTTTCAACTAATAAAAGTCATAACCCCACTCAGAGTCAACATCAGCTCAGAAAAGTTAGTGGCCATGGAATTCTGACGAAAATTAAGTGTATAAAGCTATAAAAGGAAAGATCGTATGTAGGCCAGGAATAGAAGATTAGTGGACGCAATGTGATGTTCGATTAAAAATTAAGAGTTTAACGCGTTTGACTAAAAATTATGTGCGGCAGCCGAGTCTTAACAAAATAGCTTTTTAACTTTTCGAAGAATCCGCGCAATGCATGCAGCTTAAAAATGATCTTTAATCGTATTACGAGTGTGATTTCCCGCGGAAGTGAAAATGTCAAGTTTTTCTTCTTCGACCACGCACAAACTTAAGGAGATAAAGCGCGTCAGCGAAATTTAACCACGCAACTCGCTTTTAGTTTTACATTTGCCGGGTTCGTAGTCCACTGGAGAGGAGGCGTGGGAGAAGGAAATGTCGTCAGCGGAAAAAGTAATCAGTATATGAAACGCCTCAGGGTGATAATAAATTATTTCATAGCTGGCAATGATTTAAGAGTTAAGTCGCCTTTGATGCCAGCCATCATTATATCGCGTCCGTTTATCTTATCACCGAATTACAAGAAAGAAATTAATAAACTACGTGTCAAACTGAGAAGATGCGAAATGCCCGGAAAAACTCGAATCTTAGAGTCACTGACGATCAAAAAAAAAAAAAAAAGGTTTCAGCTTTATTAAAACGAATTTCATAACAATTTGAGTATCCTACTAACGAGTTGGTTTCTTTTTCTCATATATACGCAACGTGTTTATGTTACAATGATTGTAATTTGTTCTGAGAATTCAGCAGGTGCACTAATTTTTCCAAGCGCGTTTACAAGAGCTCGCCGCGATGCTTATTAGCAACATTTCTAATATTATTACCTAAGAAATCTTCTAGCTTCAAGAAGACATTCTGAGTAAGTTCATGTATTGAAACTTGATTTTGACTTTGTTCAAGTATTAAATTTTTTTTTTGTAGATAATTCGGCAACGATTAGTATAATTAATTTTTTTCTTAAAGAATCTCATTAAAACTAATTGGCCACAGAATATAAATTCAAAGCTAACTAAACTTTTGGAGCTATGATTGTCAACAGGGAAGACAACGAAATAGCTTATTTTGAATAAATTCTCGAATAGAATTCTAGAAATTCTAGAAGCCTCGTTTGAGTCATTGAGTTGATCAGTTATGAAATGGTGTAATCATTAACGCATTTTTTATCTCTAGATTGAAACCTAAAATATTTTGAGTTGGAGTTGATATCCTGTGAAACCAAAAATATTTTTTTTTAATGAAAATATCCGTTCTCCTTCCTAAGCCACTAATTGCTGAGAGAGTTGATTACAAGTTATAGATAAGTTTCTGGTTTCTTTAATGTTTGATGCTAAGTAGATGACAAAACGAGAACGAAAAAATGTTGTTCATAATCCAAGTTGAATGAACTTAAAACATGCAGTCAAAACACCTATACCTGTTATGTAAATCATTGCAATGGTTGGCAACTCAGTTTAATTTTCATTTCTGAAGGAGTCGGAAACGTAGAATGTGTATTGAAATTGCCTTTCTGCGTTTATTCAAAGTTAACTAGATTTTAATGTATATCCAACAAAAACTGAAACAAATAGCTGATACACGAAAACATAATTTTATTTCAATCATTTCTGTGCCGGGCTAGAAACCTGCATCGTCGAACAAATAAAAATGAAAGATTGGATGTTTATTGACTTCAAACTGAATTGATAGTTTCTTTCTGTGTTTTATTCACGTGGTAAGCTAAATTATGTAAGTTGCTCTTTAAAATGCAACTATCTGAGTCCATAACACCACTTGGACCGTCTTTTTCTAAAGGAACAACTCGGACGAGTCTGGATTTCGTCTTAATTCCACGTTGAAATAAAAGCATTAGCCCGTGCCTGAAATTCGGAACTCGCCATGCATACAAACCCGGATTTATTCCCGACGAGAAAAATCCTATCGTTAACGTTATATCGCGCGCTAGAAGAAGCTTTTCTGAGCGACAACTTTCGCAGAACACCAGGACAAAATCTACCATCACAAACGGACCCCAAGCGACGAGGAAAACTATAAGCATAATGAAGACGGTCGTGGAAACTCTGCGCTCCCGAGCTACCGTTTTTTCTACCTGGGTGACTTCTTTTCTATCAGTAGAAATCTTCAAATTAATCATCTTCTTTTTTAGTGCGCGCAACAGCCCATAGTAGGAGATGAGCATTAGTGTAGCTGGTGATAGAACTCCCATGCCGTAGAGGTAGATTTGAAAGCTTGCGCTGCGCCATCCGACAAGAGGCAAGATGGAGAAGTGGATTGAAAATAACCAGATGAGTAACAAAGCCCAACGAACGCGATTTGGCGACATTAGCGATCTGTATTGAAACGGTCGACAAACGGCGAGAAATCTATCTGCCATTAGAGCGGATATGTTTACAATGGAACAAACACAAGAGAGAACAGCGAAGATGAAATAGCTAAAGAGAACTCTGCGGTTATTCGTCCAATAACTCGCCGCATTTATAGGTTCCACAGTGATCCCAACTAGGATATCCGCTACAGCCAAGCTGATCACAAAATACGAGTTAGACACCCGGCGAAGTTTCTTGTCTGGGTCTATAATATACACCACAAAAACCAACACGTTTCCGACAACAGTGTAAAATCCGAAAATGAGAAACAGGATCGCTAAAGCCTCATTGGGAGTCAAAAGATATCCCTCGTAATACATGAACATCGTCAGCTTGGAGAAAGTTTAGAGATATCAATCCAAGCTCCCCAACCGACGGCCGCTCGAACTGAAAGCCAACGTTAAATCGTTTTGTTGTAAATTAAAACTCCACGATGAAAGCAACTCCGCTTGGAGTTTGCAGTTCACGGTATGAAGAGGCTATAACTTAATTATCCACCAAAACAGTTCCTTTATCACGCCTTTGTTCACAAAACGATAGGGTCTTCTGGCATGGGGAACTGTCTCTCTCAAACCGTACGTGAATCTTCCGAAGTGATGTGCAAGTCACTCAAATAACTCTCTTATTTTGTGAAAAACAATTAGGGACGGTTTGACAGAGTCATTATTTTTGCGACGTATTTGGACAGGTGTTATTGTAAGAAAGTCCGCTTCACTTTTAACTCGTTAACTCTCAATTCCGGCCAACTTTTTACTTGCATACATCTTCTTGTAATTAATGTAGGGAGTGCAGTGGTTCATCAAGATAAAACCCTTGCTCTAGCTGATAAGTTTTTCTTGTCTCTTCATATGATCAATGGATAATGTACTGATATCTTACGATGAAGTTGTTTGTAAATCTCGTCTAAGGACGGCTCGGTCAAGGTGATATCATATGCTTCGGAAGAAGTAGCGTCTAAATCCAAAATCTTTCGCGCGACTTGATGACTAGAAAGAGGACGTTATGAAATAAGGTGTTGAGTCAGATATCGTTTAGACATCTTAGTTCGGTCGAAGCAAGCTAAGAGAGAAAACACTTGATTTAAATATTGTTAAAAATCGAGAAAAAATTGTTTTGAAAATATGAAATCTCGCTCTGTTTACACTAGATTACACGTTTTTTTTCTCGGAAAAAAGTAAAGTAAAATAGCTCATCTGTTGTATTGCTTTAAGATTAAAGGGGCTCCTGATGGAATGAAGCCAGAGGTTAAGTGTTAAAATAGAGTGTTTTTAATTATCGTGCACAACTGAAAAACGGCACAAATCGCATGTATTACGAAACTTGATAAAACGGTTATATTCTTGTGTTTGAGAGATGCAAGGCTAAAATTGAAGGAATTTCATGTTTTTCTCAAGTTCAGTGCAAGAATAAGAGCGCTCTTTGATTTTTTCTTGATAATCTTTTGTTTGGACTGCAGCCAGGGAGACAAACAAAAACGCAGGGCAACAAGACCGTTCGCTTCTTTGCCTAATAAAACGACATGTATAAATTGATGTAATATGTTAATGTGAAGCTTCTAAAGCTGTCGATTTTGTCAGCCGGATCAGAGAAGTCAATCGAAGCATTAGAATTTTTATTGACTTCTATACAAAGAAAACATACTAAACTCACAGCTCGTGTTTTGTTGAGACACTGGTAATTGCATAATTATTGAAAATGGACTCACAAGCGAGAAATGGTATGCTGGAGCTTACTTTGAATTGGAAATTAATCTTTCCTCTTGTAAAGAAAACAACAAAATGTACGCTCAATAATTAATGAGATTAAGCCCTTCAAGTATTTTTTCACAGTAAAACTTAACCGTTGAAAAAAAAAAAAAACGCTTGATAGAGCAGGAAAAATTTAAGATATAGTGCTGGAACAGTAACAACAAGTTGATTTCAGAATAGAAATCGAAACAGAAGATTATCAAATGTAAATGTGATTAATATTGTGCGACAGATCGATGTAAACTGCATTATAGCTACTCGAGAGTCCATTATTTGATGTGTTAAAGTTTTAATACATCAAATTTTAATACTCAAGACTTTCCAGTGCAGTCTTTTCTTATGCACTTGTTTTTTTCTTTTTGTAATCAAAAAGCCGCGGGAAATCCGTATTGTTATTCCACGACTTCAAGAGCCTATACTTTTTGGATTTTCTTTCACCAAGTTGTCTCAAGTGAACACCAAAGAGAACATCTACTTTTGGGGCTTGAGGCTGGACGTTCTTATTTCTATTGTGATTTGATTCTTAAACGTTCTTCTTAACTTGTTAAGGTTGCACACGTGGTATAGTAATTCAGTAAATCAATGTTAAAAATTGTCCCTAGGCATTTGAGTCAAGTGTCCTGTTGGATTACACCTTTACATTTCTTTTACCTTTATTTCTACTTCTCACAGAAAAAAAAAAAACGCAAAATGAAGACGTTCTTAGCAAAGACGTTCTTGATAAAGACGTTCTTAATGAATCTCGGCTCGGGTGTTTTAAAATATGTTCCTACAATTGTGGTTTATCTCAGCCTAAAGGCCTTTATAAAAGAGGTCTTGAATAAAAAAAAAGTGTATCTTTAAGGTATACTAACAAAGGAATCGGGGACCTATGTCATTAATTCTGCACAAAACCGTCAATTTCTCACATTCCAGTTATCAAACCCTAATCGATCTGATACAGTGGTGACGAGTGAAGCATGCAGAAGTTTCGCAGCTTTTCGAGATCAGTGGAGGCGCATACCTGCCGCTTAGATCGAAGAGAAACCGTAACCCGAATATGAAAAAATTAGAAATCCTGGCTACGCCCCTGTCACCAACTAAGGAAGCTCTTGATTATTAAACAAATTCTCCTCGTCAGCACCTCAGAAAATGTATTGAGAACAGCATAAACAACATACATAAAGTAGAATGGGTTCTGGTCATTTTTAGTTAACCAAGTGAAATATTATATCCGAGTTTCTGCCATTACAGAAAGCCTTTTAAAGCAATGAAGTGACGCAACCATGTGTGGTTGACAATAAAAGTACGAGAAGACAACTTTTGAAAAAGTGGAAGAATTCCAAGAAAAGAATAGCTTGACAGTGTTACACAGTGTTACTGGCCACCAAAGATTCAAAGCCTCTCGGCAAAATTACAACGATGAGTATCGTTTTACTCAAATTAAATGAACACACTATAGTACGCTATCTTGTCACACAGAGTCACGTTGCCGTACATCCTTGGCCACGTCTAGTCTGGATCCTAGTTAAGTTTGCCGGGATGTACTCTTTTTGGAAATTCCTGTCTCTTTAACTTTAATTAATTTCTCGCACGGTTTTTTTATTGGCCATGGAGAGCGGAACCATAAACATCGCACACCTGCCCTTTCAATTCACACTCACAGCGTTGACAACAAAAGCTCTTATAATTCAAAATGTTTTTATTTGATCAAAGCAACTTTTCGACTCACACATGAAATTGCACGGTTGATACTCGGTCCCCTCCGAAGTTTATCGATATGAAACTGAGAAAATCACTGAGCTCACTGTCGTCGGCAAAGAGGACGACAGTTTGATGACGAGAAACTAGCGTTACACATGGTAAAGAAAGATCGGAAAAGTGGTTTACAACTTCAACAAAAAGTTCACAGAATTTCACAATCGAGAGCCTTAGAACAGTTTTTAATCAGATCTCCCTATAATGAACCCATGGTACCCTTGAAATGATATATAAATTAACTGTATAAATCAAAACGTTATCCGGGAAAAAAACCAGGGAAGAAACTTAGGGCTGACTTTTCAGAGAGTGAAGTCCTCTGCTCTTTTTCCACAACTTCCACAAGGAGGATCTTCCGTGCTTCAAGATCTGTTTCATTCTGCGTCTTCTGCGGTCGGATAGGATACGCGAGAAAAGATTGGATTCTCTTTTCTGTTCCTCCTCCTCCTCTGCGGCATTGCTTTCGGTGACTGGAGCTTCGCTGGGCTCACCGCTGAACGGAAGTTCTGTCGGCTCAGGCTCTTCTATTTCAGGGCTCTCGCTGGGTTCGCCGCTGACAGGAGTTTCTGTTGGCTCAGGCTCCTCGGGTTGCAGTTGTTGCAGTTTAACTTTCAGGGATTCTTTCAGGGACCTAAGAGGACAGAAAAAAAATACAGACCTGTTAACTGTAGATAGTTCTCATATGTTCAGTTATTTTATAGCGAAAACCAAGGTGGGCCACGAAATCAGACTAGTTATTTTGTGTTTATTTATCAAGACCCAAGTTCCATGTTGACGTTTTCTTCCATGTCTCCTACAAAATTCTAGCAAAATAATGGAGTTTTCCGGTCATCTCTCTTACTGTATTATGTCCTTGACAGTCGTTTTCATGTCTTTGATTTGTTCGAGAGGTCTGTCGGGAAGGCTGGAACCCAGTCGCTCTTGAAGAGCAGCAATCTCTGATCTGGCGCGGTCGAGTTGTTCAGTGGTCACTTCAGTGAACTTCATCCATTGCTGTGAAGAAAGATACTTCTTAGTAACTCAGCACGAATCTATTTTCGATGAATTATCTTTTTTTAAAAAACATGCACCAGACAATGCAATATTATGCAAATCTGACAACAATTAGGACTTTTTTCGGTGCTGTACCTCATACACCGTAACATCAGCATGCATATTCTCCATACTGTTCTCTTTACATTTCTTTTAAGGTGTGGACAAGGAGAATTTGTTTAGCAATCAAGAGATTTGTGAGAAGGTGATCATTTCCTTCATTATCATAACCTTTATATTGAATCAAGGGGTGATTCAAGAAGTCAGGCCACTGTCAGGGATTAAAGGGTAAAAACAGTTTTAATCTTTTCTGCAATGAGTTTCCATCGGCTCCTTGTGGTATTCCCATTTCCGATTGTTCGTTATGAATACTTTGGCTTTGGTTCTATAGCTAAGATGGTAAATCTAAATGTAAACGGGATCTTTGGCCAGTAAATATTTAAGACGCAAATTTTACACTCTACCCGAGGAAGCGTAAAAACAACTCAAATAACGGAAACAATGGGTTACACTGACCTCCTCTGTCTTGTTGCGCCAATTGCCCTTGTTCTCCCTCCAGATTTTCCTGAATTTTTCTTTGCTCTCACCAGCTTGCTTGTTCAACTCGTTCCAGTATTCTTTCATTTCTTGTTTCTTCTGTTGGAAGGCTTCCTGCAGCTGCTCTTTGTTCGTACCAGCTTTTTGCTTCATATCATCCCACAGTTGGTTCATCTTCTCTTTCAACTGTTGTTTCTTTTCTTTCAGTATCTCCTTTTGGCTCAACGCTTTCTGTTTTAATTCCAATAACTTCTCCATGGCTTGTTCTCTTTTTTCTTGCAGTGCTTTCTTGTTCTCTTCATACATTTCTTCTACGTTTCCTTTCACTTCCTCGGCACGTTGACTTGCCTGTTCTTTCAGATTTCTCAACTTCTCCATGGCTTCTTCTCTTTTTTCGTGGAGTGTTTTCTTCGTCTCTTCCACCATTTCTTCTACGTTTCCTTTCACTTCTTCGGCACGTTTGCTTGCCTGTTCTTTCAGATTTCTCAACTTCTCCATGGCTTCTTCTCTTTTTTCGTGGAGTGTTTTCTTCGTCTCTTCCACCATTTCTTCTACGTTTCCTTTCACTTCTTCGGCACGTTTGCTTGCCTGTTCTTTCAGATTTCTCAACTTCTCCATGGCTTCTTCTCTTTTTTCATGGAAGGCATTTTTCATCTCCTCAGCACGGTTGCTCGCCTGTTCTCCAAGTTTTTTCAGCTTCTCTACAGCTTGTTCTCTTGTTTCTTGGAGAGATTTCTTTTGCTCTTCCAACATTTCTTCAGCGTTTCCTCTCAGATTCCTCAACTTTTCCATTGCTTCTTCTCTTTTATCGTGGAATGTTTTCTTCGTCTCTTCCACCATTTCTTCTACGTTTCCTTTCACTTCCTCGGCACGTTGACTTGCCTGCTCTTTCAGATTACTCAACTTCTCCATGGCTTCTTCTCTTTTTTCGTGGAAGGTTTCTTTCATCTCCTCAGCACGGTTGCTGGCCTGTTCTTTAAGTTGCTTCAACTTCTCCACAGCTTGTTCTCCAGTTTCCTGGAGAGATTTCTTTTGCTCTTCCAAAATTTCTTCAGCGTTTCCTTTCAGTTTCTCGGCACGCTGGCTTGCCTGTTCTTTCAGATTTCTCAACTTCTCCATGGCTTCTTCTCTTTTTTCGTGGAAGGCATTTTTCATCTCCTCAGCACGGTTGCTCGCCTGTTCTCCAAGTTGTTTCAGCTTCTCTACAGCTTGTTCTCTTGTTTCTTGGAGAGATTTCTTTTGCTCTTCCAACATTTCTTCAGCGTTTCCTATCAGATTCCTCAACTTTTCCATCGCTTCTTCTCTTTTATCGTGGAATGTTTTCTTCGTCTCTTCCACCATTTCTTCTACGTTTCCTGTCACTTCCTCGGCACGTTGACTTGCCTGCTCTTTCAGATTACTTAACTTCTCCATGGCTTCTTCTCTTTTTTCGTGGAAGGTTTCTTTCATCTCCTCAGCACGGTTGCTGGCCTGTTCTTTAAGTTGCTTCAACTTCTCCACAGCTTGTTCTCCAGTTTCCTGGAGAGATTTCTTTTGCTCTTCCAAAATTTCTTCAGCGTTTCCTTTCAGTTTCTCGGCACGCTGGCTTGCCTGTTCTTTCAGTTCTCTCAATTTCTCCATGGCTTGCTCGCTAGATTCTCCTAAGGTTTCTTGCATTTCTCCAGCTCGTTTGTTAGCCTCTTCTTTCAACTGCCTCAACTTTTCCATTGCTTGTTCTCCTGATTCGAGCAACGAGTTCTTCTTCTCTTCAGCATGTCTTCCAACCTCACGAACAACCTCTTGTCCAATTTCCTTGACTTTTTCGAAAGCTTCGCCATACTCGAAAGATGGGAGCGAGAATGCAAAAACTTTCGAAGATAAAATAGTTAAAACGGCTGTAAGTATCACTGTACTTGTATGATAAAAGGGATGTTAAATTAGATAATTCTTAAGTAAGTTTTCAATGATTCAGGCATTTTCTTTATTAAATAATTAAGTTCTTGAAGTAACGTTTTTAGAGAGAAGTGGCAGAGATAAACCAAAGAGAGAGAGAGAGAGAGACAAGCAGATCGCGACGCGGGCGTGTCTCGTGCAAGGCACATGCACTTCTCCTCGAGATCTATGAAATGACGAGACGCTGGAAAGGGAAATGCTTCTTCAAATGACTTGATTATAAGACAAACATGTTGATGATATAGCCGGCTAGTGCATGCACGAGCATGTTGGTCTGCGCACGCAGTTTTTTTTTTTTATCTTGGAGCGGGGGCGCAAAAGTCATGCAAGGAAAAATGAAATGGGCATGGTCGAGAAAGGTCCGTGAGCAATAATAACTGTGTAATTCGATTAAAAATCGTCATACGATCGAAAACGCACTTCTTACAGCGTGACTGCAATAAATTACAGGTTCACGAACGTATAAAGAACATTTTTTGACTCAGATCGGAATCTATTTCAATCTAATAGGTAACAACATAATTAGAAGCTCTCTATTCAACTTGAAACTGATTGCGTAATATCTGTTTTGGATAATCAATCAGAACAAAGAAAATGTAAAGAAGGCTCTAAGCATACATGCAAGAATTTTAACATCTTTGTAGTATAAAGTTACCTAAGCAGCGGAATTTTTGCAAGCGCGAGTTTGAACTTTGTCCCTACTTCCCTGCGAGAGTTGCTTTTATAACAGTCCGGACTTTGGTCGTTCCGTCGATACTTTGCGATTAGTGATAGATACTTGATCCGCCAACGATTACGCACAAGTTCAGAAAAATTGTGAAATTTCTCAGTTGAAACCTTCGTGACAAAAAGCAAGGTCTTGAAAGGCTTGGAATGAATTTTTTTTTTCTCATTAAGCTCGGGAGAAAAGAAGGCATCGATGTGAAATCACCACTACGCGAAGCCAGAAAGGTCACATCCACATTCAAGTCGATCCCCAGCCGTTCGTTGGCCAAAAAGAGCTGTGCTTTATTTCATAACATGATCTCTAACACGCTAGGTCTCCATTCTTTGATTAGCATTCGAAACCAAAAGAAAGATCTACCAAGATCTGCTGTGTCGTTTTATTTTTTTGCAGACTAATCCTTTCATATGCTACGAAAGCCAGGCAGAGAAGGCGTATCATGTAACACTCTTCACAGGGGTCTATGGCTAAAGTCCGAAATCATAAGACAGAATGCAAACAACGTTATTTGTTATCAGATACGCTTATTGCTATCCAAAAGAAAGTAACCTAATCAGCAATATTTATCTAAGAGCTAAAGGAAGTTGGGATTCCAGCTTTTCACTAAGAGCAAGATTTGGAGACAAAAATTATCTAGCCGAGTTGTTTGAGTCTGTCTCCTTTGCTGTTCACGGCGCAAATTTTTTTAGCTCGGTAGACAAATCCTATTTCATACGTCTTACCGAGCAATGGAAGACCAGGATTTTTCACATCTGAATTATTACGTAATGCTCCGAGTCTCAAACCACACAGAATCTAGCCAAGAACAATTTTTCAATGTGATAATTTTCGCATGACGTTGGTCACCAAACTACGCATCTCGTGAGGAATTAAGCTCCTCTAAGCTAGTGACCTATTTGTGCAATCGACACCCGTGATTGCTGCTACAAGGAATTTGTTTCGTCTTGCTCGTGAGTATCAAACTACGGAATCGTGTAATTGCTGCAATCAGGGATTTGTTTTGTCTTGCTCGTGAGTTTCAAAACAAGGAATCGCGATACTATGGATAAGAAAGACTAAACAAAGACTTACAAGACAAAATATCTCGATTCTAAACTATAGCAAAAGGCACGGAATACGAGCTTCCGAAAGATTACCTCACAGCGTGCCATTTCCTGACATTTCGACACTACACTCATTTGATGCGATTTCGAGAAAAGAAAATGCCAATTTTCTCGGAATAATCTTGTGAATATGTCTGAATAAACTTTAAAGCCAATCAAATGTCTGAAGCGATTTTGACAACTTATCTTAAAGTATCACTTTCCGATTCTCATATGTCATTCGCACAGTGACAACGCAGTAGATGAGAAAAAAGGTCATGTAACATTCCGTTGGTAAAATAGTTCCAACAGCAGAGGAAACTGTGCGAATTCCTTTTGAAAGGAAGCAAGAACAAGAAAGGTTCTATAAACTCGAGACCTAGCGCTTTAATGGCAGCCGATACCAATCACTTCATCGATATCACAAACACTGAAATCCTCGTTGAACGTTGACAAATTACGAAAAAACGCGAGGGTTGGAAGGTTGAATTTATTGATTTCAGATTCTTTCTCTGCCCCAAAACAAAAAATGATCGTTCAAAGAAAAGACACTCTAGTAGTAAATGTATTGAAGAGTGTGATAGCTTTTCTTTTTTTAACATTCCTTCAGCGACGCCCAGGCCGCATTCTACCTCGGCATTTGTTCACACTGCGAATTTCACCAGTGCGTTTTCAATGAGACGTTGTCGCGTTCAACTGCTTTTAGAGACAAGCGGCAAGGAAAACACACGCCCTTTCTAACAGTCCTGACTAATCTGTGGCAGTTGTCTGTTTTCTACTTCGAAAGTAAGAAAACGGTTTTGACATCAGGATTCAATTAAGGACGGTCAAATGGTTTCCCATGTAGTGTCATTAGGGTAAACAGCATGGTCATATTTCGTGCTCCTTACGAAAATTGAGGTAAATTGAAAGAAGAAGTACTTACTTTGTGGTGCAGCCACACAGACTAGAAGAACAGCTATAGCTAACTTCATCGTGGAATTGAACTCTCAAGAATTGCAAGCTCGGTCCTCTTTGAAGGTGAAAAGGTATATAAAACTTGACTCGAGAAAAACTGGACTTTAACCGTGTAAGAACGGAATACGAGAAGGTATTGAATGATGCGATAGTATTGGTCATCCTGAATGTTTGTCGGAAATGCGTCACTAATAATAACTGTGAGGTGTCATGTATCTCAGTTTTCTTTGGATTGGCACCGACGGGGAAGATCGCCATTAGACTGATTAAAGTGAAGAAAAATACACCTTGAGAGCGATGCGTGGCGCGAAGAAAGAGTTTACGATAGCTAAAGTGCGTTCAACTGTCTTTTATGCTCTCATAAGCAAACGAAACTGAACGCGTCATTTTGTGCATTCACGTCGGGGAGAGTACTTCTGGGGAGGGCAAATTGCTCCACTCTTTCTTGAGAAAACGTGATTATTTCTAGTAACAAGGTTAAGAGACATTTCCTCTTTAAGGGTCTCTAGAGTCGGACCACTCTCAGTTAAAAACTTTACCCTAGTCTCTGAGGCAGTTTTAGTTGAGTCTATGTTTGAGCTCTCTTGAGCAATTATGTAAGAGAATTGTTATTTCTGGATGAAGTCCAGAATTTTCTCACACCATTACAAAACCCCCTGAGAGTTAGCGGTGGGCGAAAACAGTTAAGTCAGTACTTTCGCTTCACGTACCACTAACATTACTAAGTGTCCAATTGACAGATGGGAATGACAGTAGTATAATAGAGAGTACTTTCCTGCGTTTACTAGCGATGCCCTTTGCGCTAATCCACATTAAAAAAAGAGTTTCCGGGAAATTTCACCGCATGTGCGGAGGTGATATACTTTATGACTAGGTTATTGTTGTAATGCGCAGTCATTTCCTCTGAAATAGAATCTGTTCTTGTCCACCTTTGCCTCTTATTTAATTCGAAATTTAATTTGAAAGAAAATACCACCTTGCATTTGCTTACGTTTGAAATTACCCCGAGAGGCTCTCACAGTTCTGCGGTTGTGCGGTTCTAGAAACGAACCGGCGTGCTTGTTGTAAAAATTTAACACTTATTTCAACATAAAGTTAGAAACATTTGGTCCCCATACACTCAGTTCAGAGCGAGCGCGACTTATCTCAAGCGAACTCCCGCCATAATCAGTGCGCGCATTTCATACATGAAAGATGGGAGGAAATGATGCCCATTTTAGAATCAAGGGTCTTTGGGGAGCTGTAGTATCTCCTGGAATATTGTCGGAGCGGAAGGAATACAGGGAAAATTTTTTATGAGAAAAAAGGCATCTTTTTGAGGTGAAAATGGATGCACAAAGTAAGATTGTAGTGAAGTTTTAAGAGTTTCCTCATTAGTTTCCAACGATGATGCCGTCAAAAGGAATGTGAGTCCTCTGTGGCTTCAGGCAATGGTAACTATTGTTTGTGTCCTCAACACCTCTTCGTCTTTTTCGTGAGGTACGCGGGACTCGGGTAAAGGCACAAGGGTCTTCGCATGACCCCTACCTTGCTTAGGCTTCGGCCACCCGATATGGAAAAAAAAAATGAAACTGAAATGGCTCCTTCGTAAGCCAGACAAAACACAGCACTTTATATCGTTTCTTCACTTAGCTCTTCGAATCGAACGACTAACACAAAGAAAATAACTGACTGCAAATTCAACATAGGAAACCGGCCTCACAATTTTGTTCCCGGACTTTGGACCCACGAGACCATTTGTGCTGATCTTCGCCTTAAGACTTCCGTATATCAATTTCGTCGCCAAGCACTTTACGACCGTCGGAATTTTAATCTGCGATCTGGGGTGCCATTTAATTCTACACCCGTCAAAGGAAAGAAAAAATTCGGCGAACTAGAGCGCAAATTGCGAAATACAAATCAACATTATAACACCCAGTAGATTTATGAGACCGCCACCGATTTATGCGACATGTAAGCGCTCCAGCGGTCACCTTTTGTATTCATAAGCTGTATGAGTATGCACAGCGCCAAAGACTGTAGTTGTTTTTGATATGACACTGGATATAGATTCAATCATTTCGCGGGGCAATTAGTTGGGTGCAGGTTCGTACACTCGTTAGAAATAGGGTCCGAAAATTTATTTAGTTGTTTTGAAATTTTAGTTGTTGTAATTTTTTTTAGGTTTTCATTGTTTTTGTTTAATATATTATCGAGTGATGAACCCTTAGCGTTACATAAAATCTGAGTTCCTTTATTATCATTTGAAAAAGGTTCAGGTTCTCAAGAGGTAAGTCACACTTCCCGCTAAAAGTTTCCAAGAATATAAAACCAGGCGTTGTTTTTCTTTTCAAAGCTATAAACGGTCTAGGCGGGCCTATTTGATTACGAGCAGTGGTATTTATCTTTTGCGTGCTGAAGAGGGGAACAGACGGGGTAAAAAAAAAAGCGACATCTTAGGTAAGCCTGTAACGGATCTTCCTCCTTAACAAGAGACGTCTGCACGCGACAAAAGCAAACAAAAGAATGCGGGTAGGGCTTGTTAACGCATGGCCAGCCGCCACGCCCTATCTTATGAATGACGGGGTCAAAAAGGAGCAAAGGATGTCACAATACAAATTTTTAACTGGCCTGACATACGTAACATAAACATAAAAAAAATTTTCCTTAAACATAAAAAACGTAACATAAGTCACGCTGGCATCAAATGATGCTTGTGTGACTAATGTTACCGGCCCGATGTCACATGCGTAAAGGGGGGACCGGGTGCGGGAATGCCAAGCCGGGAAAAGAGCGGAAAAGGGTAACAAAATGCCAATGTGGGAACATCTCGCAATGATCAATCTCCAGTTTATCACTTATTTATGGGAAGGAGGAGGATAGGAGCCAAAGCTGTAGGAGATTGAAGGGCGGGTTCTCGCTTCTCTGTTAGTGGTACAAGGTAATAGCTGAATCAAACATTAGGCTCACGAGATTTTGAAAATGATTGCAAACTAAAAGCTTTTCAAATTTAAGTAAATTCTCCTTGTCATTGCTGAATGAAACGAAGATAGAACAGTGCAGAGAATTGAAATGCTGATGTTAGGGTGCTAAAGCATAGCGAGCGCTTTTGCAGGAACGGTTCAAACGCGATATTTTGACTCTGATGAGTCCCTCAGCTAGAAAGTGTCGAAAAATGCATTTTCAGGGGCGAATCCAGGAATTTCTGATGGGGCGGGGAATCCTAGGAATTTTTTCTTTTAAACACTCAAAGGCCCATTTTCATCCGATATCCTTTGCAGTCGTTTGTTTTTGTTTTGGAACCGCGCTATTGTTAAATGGCGAACTCTGATAGTCATTCACAAACACTATTAAAAAGAAAAACAAAGATTTGGTGAAGAACACAGTAAACAAATTTGCAGCTAAATATTTGAGACTGAAAAATCATAAATAGAGTCTGTGTATAAAACTTGTAAAAAGCTTACTTGATGTTGAAGGAAATTGTTCGGCTTCAACACTAAATAAAATATAAACAAATAACCAATATTGGTCAAAACTGATTTACTTTACGCATTTCAATTATAGAATAATGACTTACATAAATGAGATACATATCTCAGGATCTCAAGTAAAAATCAGTCAAATAATTATTCTTACTTCTGCAAAAGCACTGTCTGTAGTGTTACCGAAACCCATTGTTGTTTTTCTTGCCCTCCATAAATCATACACAGACTCTCGAAGTCGAATAACCTTTGCCGAGCCGGGCAGACCCGGCCTTCCTCTAGACCGCTTCTTCGGCGGCATCAACTTTTCAAATGACGTTTTTCACTGTCATACATGTAAGAATTAAAAACTATTTACTGATATGGATATTACGAATAGTTTGTTGTTCGCACATGATTCAAGATGGAACTTTGAAAGCCCTAATTAGTAAGATGGAAGAAGATATCAAAGCGATTCCGCAACTTCGAGGAAAATAGCGTATTTTTCATATATGAAAAATGATCTGGGCGCGCAAGGCATCTCGGTTGAAAATGAGCCTTTAAGCATAAATAACGTGGGGAGTCAGTTAAGTTAGGTAAATTGCAAATACATTTGGTTAAGCAATAGAATGCGATCATGTCGCAAGAATTTTGGTCTCAGACCCGTAGTAAAAAGCCCCAACAGGTCTGATTCCCTCTAAATGCCCTGACCCTAACCCTAGATTCTCGGAGTGACCAGCATCTAATTTCTCCTTACGATAATATTGCTGAATCATTTTTAAAAGATTATGAGAATGAAGGAAATGATCGTTAACCTCAGAAACTTTGGTCATTTAACAAATTCTCCCTTTCAAAACAGTACCTTAAGAGCGGTATGGAGACATTGTGCATTGAACAGGTTTTAAAAAGACATCTAACAAAATAATGTCACATTTTCCAAGTGGTGCCACATGAGAGGCCAGTGTTTTATTCCTCATTAACTTCACTCTTGATTCACAAACATTACATAGTAGAACGTCAAATTATTTACTGAATTCATAGGTTGTTTTTTTTTTTTGGGCCTGTTATGTTGACAATAATGAGTATTGGACCTTCTTATCTTGTTACAACAATTTTAGTTATGTACACAATATGTTATCAGGAGTTTAAAACATTCCTACACCTGTATCTATCTACAAACCAAAAATAAATATCTCTAACACACATCTATATCTCTTCAAGGAAAACAAATAACTTAACTAGCCATTATACTACAGACTAAAACAAAACAGGACCAAATTCTTGGTAAATTGAGTACAAGATCTGAACAAAACATCATAATCATAATTTTTTAACTAATAGCATTGATAATATAGTAAGACTTGGAATATATGGTTCATAAGTTTGTCTTTTTAGCAGCTGAAACTAATATACAACCCTTACACTCTTAAGAAAGATTGTAGAGGGTTAGGCTTACAAATAAAATTGAGAAAAGAATAGCAAAAGGTTGAAAAAGAATATCCCGAAGGTTAAAAAAAAAAATATGCTCCACATCTCTGCTCTAATACACAAGATCACATATTTGGTTTCCTCCATTAGTCCCTAAGAGCAGCATGAATGACAGTATCAAATGAAAGAGCTATTAAAAATCTCTTCTTGAAAATAGTAATGATGGAAAAAACAAACAAAAAGAACATAAAAAACAAAACAAAAATAATAACAATAATGCTTCAGACTTGAACTTTGTAAGCGAAGAGTTGCATAAAACAAGTAACAGCTTTTGTGAACAGGTGAGAACATGTTCATGAGCTAATAAACATGTTGCAAAATAATGAGTTACTAACTGCACACAAGTTTTATCACATCATTTTTTCTCATGAGATAAAATGATTTTAACTGTAAAGGTCACACTTAGTTACAATAGCAACCACAGTTACAAAATGACAGGTAACACTGTCAGAAGGCCACCAGCAGGCTAGGCAGCATGGCTGTTGCTGTCTATGTCTCAGCAATTGGTTAGTTTACCTGATACAGAAATCCTTTCACCCAGCTGTTAGTTGGGCTGTGGTGGAATGCTTTTTCCTTGTAAAGAAGTCTCTGCCGGTGAGACACACAGGTATGATGATAATGATGTTGAAAGGAAGGCATCATGTGACAGCTCAACCAACATCTGTTAAAAGAACTGTTGCTTAAAGTGGCATTGTTGAAAATAAGTCAGAGGATACTCTGAAGATATATATGTTTTTCTACAAATAAAGATCAAAATCTACTTAAACCAAAACAAAAATGTTCAAGTCCATAAAATTTCATTCTTAGATCTGGTATTATTGCAAGATGATATGCTAAAGGAAGTAGAAACTGTCCTCTGCTACTTAAGAGAAAATTGTTTCAATTTTGAAATATATTACAAACACTCACACTGTCAGAATTAGAAGTGTGTTGTTTCCTACTGCCATCACTACAGATGTAACCTACTTTTTTCCAGTAACAAGGGAATGTAGTCAAGATAATTATTGTCATTTTTGAACAGTGTTGCAAGTACAGAAATTTGGCAAAATCAAAATGTGATCACCATGCAGCAGTATTAATGGAAGAAACCAATAAAAGCTTAACTTGGAAGGCATTAGCTGAAGGTTATGAAACATTTCCAGACCTTGTATCTTAAAGAAAGCTCAGTTAGTGTTTTCTAGGACTTAAGGCTGCTACAGAATGGTTAGATAACACAATGTATGTTGGATTCTCTAAAAGCCTCCTACATAAACCCTCCTTGGAACTTGTTATGGAATATTTTCAGCCCCAAAGATAGCTCACAGCCTTTCCAGTGCTAGTGGACAAGATGTACTTTGCAGGAACAATTTTTTTTTTCATTTGAGGACTCAAATTTCTGGTGAGAGGTAGTTTTTGCAACTTTCTACTTCTGTCAGTAGAAGAACATCAACAAGAAAAAAGATGTTTAAAATTTAAATTTTCTTACTTGTCAAGCTACTACAATAAGAACAGCTACATGCCTGATAATTTGTAGTTAGATATTTCGAATATTTGGTATTTTCCTGTATTTTTCTTTGATCATTTTATTGAGCTATTTGAAAACTGAATGCAATCAACCTTGCTTTCCTTGCAGTCCAGCATTAAAAGAGAAAGTAAAGCTGTGAACAATCAAATGGAATCACAGTAATTGATACCTACAAAGTTGTGGATTTTGACAGAGCCATTCTTTTCGGTAAATGAGGAAACTAAAAGTCATACTTCAGCCTACTCCTTAGAATAAAGATACACTATCAAGAAAAATTAATTTTGGCCAATCAGATTGAGAGATTGCCTCCATCTGTCTTTAGCTTAATGCTAGCTCTTCAAGTCTAAAATCCTTTCAGAGCTTTATAGTTTCAGATCTAAAAAAGGTTTCGCTTTATTTGCCAACGTGCACTCCATAAGTTGATTAATACATGACGAACACCAAGAAGATACTACAGATGGTACCTTACTGGTATGTTTTACACACCACCTTATATTGCCTTATAATTTATTTCCGTCTGCATGGTATCCATGCTACTAGCTTATGCATGTTATTGAATGCTAGTATGGTGTATTTTAATCCTTTATATTCATGTACGCTTCTGCCTCATTTGGATTTATTGTCTCCAGACACATACGAGAAAAAGGTATTGGCTACCCTCAAAATAATAACTTACGGTAACTATAAAATTGATAAATTAATTTAACTCACACTTCTATAACTTAGCATATTTATATATCTACAAACTATTCACACATTCTAATCTCTCATGACTAAATTATTAGTGTCTCTCCAGAGCAGTGTCCAATTTAGTGTTTCTAAACCTGGACATCCTTGGCAGCATCATGCTTTGGGCTTTGAAGCTTTGAATAATACTGTTGCAAAACTGGAATTCTGGGGTTGAGAAGAAACTCATCTAGTATTGTGCCTTTTGATCATATTGTTGAGTTTCATAGGCTTGTCAGATGATGGTATCATTAATGTTCTGAACAATTAGAAGTGAAATTTACTGCAATGTAAATTATTACATAAATCCACCAGCCTCTCATGACAAATTTGGTAACTTCTCCAATCAAATATCAACACTAAATTTGAAACTGCTCAAAATTTTACGTTACAACTAATATCAAATATTGGTTTAAAAAAAAAAATAGTTTTGAGTCATCACTGACATTACTGTACACAAGTGTACCAGCACTAACAATACATAACAACTGCCCTGATGTACAAAATAATTAAAAACACCAGTTCATCATCTAGATGTGCTCTGTAAACTTCTTGGAGGAAAAATGCAGAAATCTCACGATTTCAGTCCTCTTAAACTTAGGCTATTTCCTCCATTGTGTACTCAAAACTCTAAAAAATATCTGGAGACTAAACTTGTATTTCTGGGTGCTACTGTTACATGTGAATAGTTCACATGTAACAGCTCTCAGGTATGTCTTAGCTGTTTTCCAACTTCGATTTATTACTTTGCAATGGTAGCTTCAGTCATTCAGGGTTCCAAGCTGAACTTATTTTGGAAGAGGCCATTTGGTGAATTTAAATCTTAGATTGGTTGCCAAAAGTAGAGTTTTCAAAGAGAAAAGTATGGCAGCTTCATGCAACATCTTATGAAACTGCTTGCCTCAGTTAAACTTGACCAAAAAAAAAAAGAAATGTATTTCTAGTTGCTTTTGAGGCTAAAATAGTTGCAGCTTAGAGCAACACTGTAAATCACATTTTCTAGGAACCCTGAATGATGCAAAAATATTTCAAGAACTAAATCAAAGCTGCATGCACGACCCTGATATCTAGTCTGTCTATGTGCTTATTCTGCGAGGGGACAGCATCAGAAATGTTAGTACTTGATGGGCTAAGTTTTTTCAGGAGAGTTTCAATGGTGCAAGGGCATCATCAGTGAGCAGTGTAAAAAATAATTTTTTCGCAAATAACAGAATTCAAAATTTCTTGAAAACTGACAGGTTTCATAGGTATTTCAGATAAGGTTAGATTTTCATGTAATCAACAATTAAGAGTTTATTTTTTATGAGAAGAACAAGCCAATCAGAGACAGATTACACTAAAGTTTATTGATGAAATAAAGGTGTGTCAATTGATCACATTGCATCCCAAAGGGGGCTATGGGTGCCAAATCTTGTGCATTAGTGTTTGTCTTGCAAACTAACTGAGAGACTCATTTTGAAGTATACAACTTGAACTCTATACATGGGATGTTACTGAAAATCCCAGGTAAAAGAAATTAAAAGAGTCTGTGAAACCCCTCTTGGTTAACCCCATTAATACTCTCCTGAAAAGGTCTTCAATGTCAACAGCTGACCATTGTTCTCAGTCATAACAGCCACACCCTGCATACCTTAAATACCCATCTCTCTAAGTTCTGTAAGACAACTCATCCAACATGCATGCCACATAGGCTACACTACACCAATGGAATATATTTATATAAAGGAATTATTCATCTTGCTTAGAAAAAGCTCTACATGGTAATTTTATTACCATAACTCATGCAGAAAAACCTGAAAGAACAATGTGCATGCAAGCATTTCGATGGATGGAACTATTTTCCTGGCCATGAAAAGTACACTATTACATGTGAGGGGATCTTTTTTAAGGACTGAAAAGATTTAAGCTTTCTTAAATGTTACATGACTTTTACAAGTACATGTATTTTCCTCATTTTTTCATAGGTGCTTTCACTTTTCATTACTTGTCCCTTTGTTGAATAATTTCAGAAAATGCTTGCATACTCACTGTCATCCCAGGCTGTAGTAAGTCTATCATGAGCTATATAAAACTGCAATAATTTAATATTCATTGACAAGAACAATTATTATTATTAACAATCTCTGCATTCAAGGCTGTAATCTAAACTTTTGTTTGGACAAGTTTGGTTGATTTCTCTTGCTGCAAACTACTAGAAATGATTAAATGATTTTGTGATTCTAGATATATTCTTGCTGTTCAAAGATCTGTCTGGTTTGTGGGTTCAGAATGGACACCAAAATTCAATTGTTGTTTGATGATTTTAAGTGTCTGAACAGAAATCTTGTATATGAATGCAAAATGTATATGAAGAGCACAGCCTTGTAATTATCACATGTTTTTTTGCTTGTCAGCATTGGAAATACATAAGGAAATTAAGGCTCCTAGGTTGATCTATCCCATAAAGTCATGCGTCATAGAGGAAACTGGTACTTCTCGCATGTGACATACCTGAGACATACCTGTACCAAATGGTGGTGCACTTTTGAAGTTTCCAATAAATGGTGGATCCATTTTTAAAGTTGGACTGAAGGTTGGTTGTTTCTGATGATACAACATGGACTGTGAAGAGACCTTGGTGGTAAAAGTAGGCAAAACCACTGCACCTCGGGTGACTGCCTTCGGCTTTTTTGACATGGACTTCCTCTCAGGTTTAGGATCATGGGTCTTCTTGTGTGATCGCAGTTGGCTAGCTTGTGTGAATGTCTTGTCACAGTGACTACACTTGTAGGGTTTTTCTCCAGTGTGGAGGCGCACATGCTGGTTTAACTGGCTAGCTTGCTTGAAAGAACGATTGCACTGGGAGCAATGATAAGGCTTCTCTCCTGTGTGGAGCCGCATGTGCTGTTTAAGCTGACAAGCTTGCTTAAAGGATTTGCGGCACACCTCACAAGGGAATGGCCTCTCATCTGTATGCGTTCGAAGATGTTGATTCAGATGGCAAGGCTGTTTAAATCCTTTTTGACACTGAGGACATTTGTAGGGGCGATGTTCAGCATGGTTAAGCAGATGTTTCTCCAGTTCCTCTTCAGTCTGGTACACCCTTTCACACATTCGGCAGTCATATGCGCCAACACTGGTAACTGAAACAATAAAATAAATTGTCAAAGACTGCATGTGGCCGCTGGTGCTGTACACTTTTTGGAGGCATTGAAATGAATTAGAGGTTTTATAATGATGCTAGAAGGTAGTGTTGCAGAATATTTGTCACACATGCACAACAGAAAACCTGCTGCAGCCCACACTTTTATGAGTATCCTGTTCTATATGAGATGATTCAAGAATTTATTGTGTAATTGACATTCCAAAAATAATTAAATGGTGACAAAGAAGAATATTTACAATTATAATAATAATGACAAAAATAGTAATAAAATAATAATTTAAATGGGCTAAGTTGAAAGCCTCACAGTTCCCTTATCCTCTGGCTCGAACAATGATGACATATATATGCTTCTTTTAATTTTGCCAGTTAATTATAAATGATTTTTTTTATTGCAATTCCATTTTTTGAGACTTTGTTTTGGGATATTTTCCGTCATTCCGCTTCTTAGAATATTCCGCCATCCACAGTTCCTCCGTTCCATCTTTCTATCAAATAACGTATTGTATCGTATCGTATTTCGCAGCTTCCTCGCTTCGCAAATTTAGCGACCTCGATTGGCATAAGTCGCCGATTCAGTCAGTAAAATGCTCTCCTCAAAGCTTATATGATTTGCGGATCACGTCTATTGAGATATTTCTGCGAGGAAGAGTTTTGATTTCAACTATACGTCGGTGGATGCCACTGTGAAACTATTTTGAGATGGTTATCGTCTTTTGTAGCGTTACTTACGGCAAGTACTGAAAAGGTGATATCTTCTGATCTACGCAATTTGCTGATTAAAACGGTAAAATGCTTTCTCTTCAAGAAAAAAATCTCCCCTTTGTTTTATAGTGCACCAATCATACTTATCAAGATATTTCTGCGAGGAAAACTTCTTCAAATCGCGCACAATACTTAAATAATTGTGAGATGTTTATCATTTTCTGCTGTCTTCGTAGTGTCGCGGCGAAAACATGTGCGAGGGGCTGTAAGTCAGTGTAACGTAAATGTTTTGGACTGCAGCACACTATGTTTTGATTTTTCATGTATAAACAGCGGTGTTTCAAGTTACAAGAGAATGACCTGAAGTAAAATGAAAATTGCTTTGAGTTAGTGAGGGTTCAAGTTATCGGGATTCAACAGTTCTAGAAAAGTTGTAGTTTATAACACTTCAGAGTAAAAGAGCCAGTTTCCCACTGGACTAGGGATGTGGTAAAAATCCAGCTTTGGATTATCTGTAGAAGAGCATGTACTTAATTTATTGATTTGAAGAGGTCAATATGTCGAGGGGTGTGGAAAGTCAGAATTCTTGCATGGTGGCCACCCTGGAGAGTTTGTTTTCTTGGTAATCCATGCAAGTACAACCAGAGATTATAAATATGGCAAACCAATGTATTTACATTGACATGAGATTTTGAAAGCTGGGTAACATAAATTTTAAAAGGTGTTACCCTTGTTTTTTTTTTTCATTCTTAATCAAACTATTAAGGTCAAGGAATGTGAATTTGTATGGCTTTTTTTTTAGATTTACAACTAAAGATGCACAATATATTGTCTCCTTTTCAGAGTGATACAAGCATCTTTCACTTCTCCTTGTTGAAAGACAGTTCAACATCTGTATCATTATCCACAATTTTCTGCTGATTCAGTGACACTGAGTTGAAAAGAACCCTAGTTCCCAAAAATCCCTCTGCTGCAAAACCAATGAAGTGAGCAAAGGAGGAAGGGAAAGCAAGGCTTCAAGCTCTTCTTTAAAATAAAAGTTGCTGTTTGGGGACCTTCAACTGTAAAATGGTCGCCACAGAAAAATATTTGGTCGCCCCTGCCCTCCACCCATAAAAAAAGAAAAAAAGGAGCAAAAATACGAACCAAACAATATGTTTGCTACACTTTCAATTGCCATGAATATTGGCTGAATGGCTGCCACCCACCATGGACATACAAAAGTTTGCCTTTTTCTACCCATTTGGTTAGCATTTCAGGACACAGAGCCCTGGACAAAAGTTCTTGATTCCAGTGAAGGCTATCCAAAAACTTTTTCTCTTAGATAGGAGGCATTTCACCCTCAAAGTACAAAACAGCATGAATACCTTTGATATCTAAGTCTGAAGCAACATAAATTTGGCCCTGAACTTGAATAAAATAATCATATCTTTTCAGTCTTATTGTTTCATCACAACATTTTTCCAAAAAGAATGTTTCACTCTTTCATGCATTTTCAACTCTCATGCCCACTTTGCTTAGAGGTGATTTTCAAAATTTGTATACCCCATTTTCTTGGGTAAGTAGGTTTGTTATAATTCTGTCCAATCTTGTTGCTAAAAAGGGCTTCCTTTTGGCAAACAGCACTTCTCCGATGGGGTTGTATTTTCCTTTTCCTAGAAGACCGAGGCCAGCAGGGCAAGTACACGTTGCGAGTACACATCACAGTTAGGTGAGAATTCGAGATAGCTCTGTTAGGCGTTTCTTCATCAAGGGGAAGAACACTTGCCCTTGCATAAGTTTTGTTTTCAAGAACTTTAATCTCAAGGTTTTTTCACGTTTCCTTTGCAGAAAAGCTGATAGAATTTTGAAGTAGTTGTAGAGCTGAATGGAATTCATCTCGGGTAAATAATAACGACCAATCGACCATCTAAGGGCTGAAATCCTTACCAATAAAACCTTTGCTTCATATGTGAAACCGCTCTAGTTTTGTTTTAGGTCCTGGATATCTGTGGGAAGGTCTTCTCGGTTTTCTCCACTACTCGACGCATCGGCAAAGCATAAACTTTCATCGCCAACTTTCATCATTCCACCCGTAGATTCTGAATTAGACTTTAAAATCGCCCTGAGATCTTTTGATTTGAGTTTCTGGATGTCATCTAACAAGGAAATCTCAATATCTTTGTATTTGTGAACAATTTTGAAGGGAGAACTCGCATTAAAAAGTGCATACGAATGCATATAGCTCAGGAGATCGCTGATTGAGAGAACCGCCGCGTCCAAGGTTAATCCCAGCCTCGTTTTCGTGTATGCACAGTCACTAATCCAATATGGCGCCGGGAGAGGGTGAACTGATCAAAGAAAGAAGAAAAAATCAGGGCTCATGCGTTCACTCGCTTACTGATTTGAAAGATTGGAATAACGGTTAAAAGGATGAAGAGACTCCAATTTCTTGTGGCAGAAACGATTTACAACAATGTTGCAAAGACCAAATTAATAAGATTTCGGTCGATTGCCCAGCTGAGAAACATCTCTCATTTGAAGTAAGCTGAACTCTTGGTATTAAAACTATTGTTAATAACACCTTGAATCAGTTGATACTTAGTCGTCATACTTCTTACGGTAAAGTTGATGGTGAGACTTAAATGTTAGACTCGCTATTAAATGAAATTTCTTCCAACGAAATCGGTTTCTTTGACTTGATCGGCACTCATTTTCGATTAATGCGATCTGGAAGTTTAATTTACGAACGAAGAAAGGGGAATTAAAAAGATAAAGACAGGAGATACTGACATTTGTTTGTTTGATAGTTCGACCTCAGATCGGAAAATTTTCAAGTCTTCCTATATCTTTTTTTAATCTGTTGTCGAAATTTTAGTCACCAAATATATTTTTCACTCGCCATGCAATGGTGACCAAAATGGCCGCAGCTTCGAGCGCTGGAAGGCAAAAGAGCAAAATATTAATTATTTTCGCGTGCTAAGCACGAGAGAGGCATTGCTTAAATTATAACTATAACATTATTAATAAAAAAATCATCATCATTAGGAGAGGAGCCCAAGATTCGACATAAGTGCAAGTTGCCTAAGCAAAAAAAAATTTCAAATTATTCCTCAAACATTTGTTGATTATTTGAGTCCTGATCACAGCACTAAGATGCCAGTACAGGCTCATCACAAACCCTCACCTCTTGCCTTTTTTCTCAGATTGTTCTCAGTATGTTCCTTCTTGGCACATGGAGGTGATGTGAGTGTCAGTGGTTCACTCCCTCTGAGATTTGGTGATGGAAAATTGGGCGAGGTACCATGAACTAGGCTTGGCCGATGATCACAGGTGCATGAGGGTCCAAAATTACACTCCCGGTAGTCCATCTTGGAAGGATTCAAAGAGAGTAGGAAAAAAGGAAGCATTATTAGTACAATAACATGGTATTCTAAGGATTAAGAAGCTGGCTGGACTATGCATTGATAGAAGGGGGTAAGTTTCTATAGAAAATGGTGGTGCTAGTTTGGTGAGGGTATTACAAGATAATTTGGTTATATCAACTGAGTTAATAATGTAAATTAGTATATACTAAAACAGTGGATAGCATTGAAGGCACACTCTGATTGGCAAGTCAAACTCCAAATATCCTTCGCTATTTATCTCTGAGCAACTCGGGGAAAAAATGGTGTCCTGGTATGCATACGTGACAAGCAAAGAAATCACTCAAATCAATTTTTGGTGGTGTATATTATCTCACTGTTTTAGTATATACTTAAACAACTATTCACCTCAGTGTTGGTGGTTAGTGGTGGATATTTAGCTCGCTGCTTTGCGGCTCAGCAAATATCCACCACTAACCACCTCCACTTCGGTGAATAGTTGTTAATTGGCCACTGGATAGGGTTTCTAAAGCTGATGTTTCAGCCATTGACCTTCATCAGACCTCTGTGTTGGGAAATCTGCTTTTGAGACCTGGCTGGGTCATTTGATTTTGCTCCTGGGCAAGACAACTAACTCTCACAGCCTCTCTTCACTCAGGAGTTTGAGAGGATTGCCGCAATCTGTCAGGAAGGCTTACAGGGGGTAACCTGCTATGGACTAACACCCCATCTACAGTAGAGGAAGTAGATTTACTGACACTCCTAGTTGCCACATGCAAATAATGGACTACTAGGTGTAACCCACTAAAAATCTCATTTAGGTATTCTCCTTACTGTCTGCCATACAATTCTTACTATGTTAGTTTGGAGAATTTGATATTGGATCAACTACTGATGCCCCGATCGATATTTTTCTTTATTAACCAACTACAGTCTGTAGAGTACAAATAACACCATAGATGAGTACAAATATCATGCGGTAATTGTACTCCAGAGTATCAGTTAAACAGGTTTTCTTGCATTGTGCAAGCAAAGAATTGAATTGAAGTTACAAAAAGAAAAAATGGCAGACAATTTGGATGACAAAGAAGAGTCGGAATGGCTGGCAAATATAGATCCACGTTTACTTGATGAATCGAGCAAAGAAAAGCAGCTAGACGACCAGGAAATTTCTTCATTTTATTGAAGAAAATAGAAACAGCAACACGACAACACGCCAATTCCGTTCCACTTTGCATACTTCTGTCACGCACTCCCTGTAAATAAATATCCACGAAATTCGCCCGCACTGAAATAACTTAAAAATACTCAGCAATACTACACAACAAAACATCTAATAAGATATATTTATTCTCATCACTTGTCTGCTTGACATTGAAATAATTTGAATATATCAACAAAGTTGAAATGGTAAATTGGCCACTGTTACGATTATAAAAGCTGATGTTTCAAGCGTTAGCCCTTCATTGGAGCGAATAGAGGAATTGTGGGTTGTGCGTGCTTTTAAAGGCAGGAAATAAAGCTACGTTATTGGTGGTAACATGGCAATGAGAAAAACACGAATAAATTAGTGGAATGAAAAGTGTTCGTTGATACCTGTATTGGTATTATAAGGAGGAAATCTGTCTTGGTTACTCACGGGAGTTAAAGGTTTAACTGCACGCTTTATTATAACTGCATTGATATCAATTAAAGTTTAGAAAAGTGCTTTGTGCTGTAACTCTATTGTAAACAGTTATCCTCAATTACTTTTCTATCTCTGTTACCCCTTTTCACACTTTTCCAAAGAATATCTTGTGCCAAGAATCTGTTTCATTCATACCTACTGAATTTGCAGCAATAAAATCACTAAATAGGGAACCAAAAAATACTAATTTTTTAAAAATTGTAACTTAGTATTAGTTTTTGACTGATGAATGCTTGTAAACATTGGTTGGCATTGCTAATATTGGTTGATAATAATATATAATAATATATAATAATATATGTAAATGTGCATGATCCTTGCAGTAAAGCACTATTTAAGCAATAGTGAAAATCAGACCTGAAAAAATTCAGGCCTGTATGGGATTCGAACCACTGACCTCTGCGAGTCGTAAACCCGTAAGATGATAAGAAATACATAATTATATTGCTTAAATAGTGCTTTACTGCGAGGATCGTGCACATATACGTTTCATAACCGCAGTTCAGATGTATGTATTTCATATAATCGTTGTGTTTGATACAATAATATAAACGTAATAAGTTATGAGACAAATTGAGGATGACAGAATAGTCGACTGAGATAAACGCAGACCTCAGATTTTTTGTCACTACGTGCTTACAAACTGTTTCTGTTTCATGCTTGACCCCAAACTGTTGCTAATGATTTAAACTTCAGCTGTTACTTTGTCTTAAACCCCACTTAACTTATGATGCACTGAAACAACAAATTCTACCTAAAACACATTTACTAAGAGTTACGATTGATTCATCAACGTAAACTTTAGATTTACTGTTAATGTGGCATCTCAGAGTTGAACAAAAAAGCAAAGCGATTCTTTTAAAAAAACCACACCTTTCCCACATGCACTTTATTTGGACATAAATTAGAAAAAACGAAAACATAAAAAACTGAATAGGATGTTAAGGAGATAGGTGACCATAAACAGAAAACAGGGTGCCACCCTGTCGGCACACAATCTTTGAAGACAGAGAAACACATTAGGTACTGCAGTAACAGTGATTAAATGATAAGCAAATTTTACTTTCTGGAGAGCAGTTTAAGGCCTCATTAGAACAGTTTGAATATTTATAAATTGGATAGTATTCAAATAAATATGTTAAACTCAAGTCACACGTTGGGAACAAACATATGAGAATATCTAAGTCTCCTGTGATGACTCAAACCCCCGACATTCCTATTTCATGTCACCTGTTCCAAAAATCCAAAAAAATTCACAAAAAATCTTATAATACATAAAAAAAATAAGCGATTGATCTTAAAAAGGTGAAAGAAAATTGTTGGTTGTAAGTTCTTTGTGAGCATGGACTTTTCGTGATCAGAAGCTCAACATTTAAGGTACCGCCCTAAGACTTCATTATTGAATGGCGGCATATGGAGCATTGCACTTAAAAGGAAATGCAGACTAAGACACATAATATACAGTTACATAACAAACCACAAGAGGGCCACATTACTGTGTCTAAAGCCAATATAACAACAGAATTCCTCTTTTTTAAAGCAAAGTCAGTTCCCTAAATCTTCGTGGGAACAATTTGCCTCATGTTCAGACATAATGTGGCAGACAAATAGAAAAAAACAATTAAAAAATCACCATGACAGCTATAATATTAGACATTCTGCATTTGTAGTGAACAAAGTTCAGCCTACAGATAATTCATAAATGATCTTCCTTTGAACTAAAAAACAAACACATAAATAGTTGATAAAAAGCAAGAAAATTAGAACACAGGGGTTCAATTCAAGTTTTACCTTTGATGCCCACAAATGAAAAATACATGTAAAGCATTGCGGGCAAATGAAGAGACAGACAAAGGGGCATACATGCAATTGATAATAATGACAGGATGGCTTAATCCTTGTGAGGTCTTAATGAAATCAATATAGTGGCAAATTCACTGTATTTTTTTTAAGAAATCAGTAACTCAAACTATTTTGGGGTGTTGACTTTGTGTTTAGTCACAAGATGGTGGAAAAGCATATGTAAAAAAATTGAACTCACCATGGCGATTCAAACCTTGGACAAACCAGTTTTACTGCCATCTTGGTTACATATACATGGCGTGGGCAGATGATCTTATTTCAATATATGCGTAAATACATATTAAATACCAGTAAGACACATTATGTGATAGTGATGAAAAAGTTGAGAGGAAACACTTAATCCCACATTTACAATGTATAATGCAATTTTTTAAAACTAAAATATTTAAGGTTCGTAATACTGCCCTAGAATATTCCAGCATAGTTGCCAAATATACAATGTTGTGCATTGTATTCAAAACAAGACCAGACAAAGACACTTACATACTATCTTTGCATAACAACCACAAGACCAAGTCACTGTGGGTCTGAAACCAATATGACAAGAAATTTCCTCTTTTCTAAGTGGAAATCAGTTTGAAAAACTTCTCCAAGGACAATTTGCCTCATGTTTCGTCACAAGGTAGTTGGACAGAGAATGTAACTTGACAAACCACAATGACTAAAATCTTGGACATTCCACATTCGCAGTCTACCGAGTTAAAAGCGCATAGAGAATTCATAGATGATAATACTTCAAACATATATTTTTGATTAACACATTAAAAAATGGTAATAAAAAGGAAAAGGAAAGTTGAGTGTGAATGATTGATATCAAGTTTTGCCTGTAAAGTGCACACACCAAATTTAAAGGATAACAGGAAAAACATTATTTTTAAACAAACTCCACATTTCACACATGCTCTTTACTGCTCATTATTCAGACATAGATCAGGAAAAAAACAAAAATATTAAAAAACTGAATAATTTACTTCATTTTTTATTCATTAACCCATTAAAGTTTCACATTAAGATATTTCTTTCATATACATCATCTCAGTGATACAAAATCAGGGGGGCTAAGGGCCCAGCTAAAGCACCAATTGAAAGATGTTGTTGAGAAACATAATGTCCATGACCATAAACAGAAAACAGGGCGCCACATTGTCGGCGCAGAGTCTTTGAAGTCAGAGGAACACAAAGTAAGTACCACGGCGATTAAATGATATGCAAATTCTAAAGTTTTCAAAGAAAAATGTTAAACACAAGTCACAAGTTGAGATCGAATATCAGAAAATATCTGAGTCTCCTGTGACAACTCAAACCGCCCACATTCCCAATTCATATCACCAGAGCTACAAATACAAAAAATTCACAAATAATCTTATTATACATAAAAATTAAGTGCAAATATTTGAAAAAATAAAGGAAAATGGTCGATTTTAAGTACTTTATGAACTATAAGCGTTTCGTGATCATAAACTTGATGCTATACAGACATAGACACTGCCCTAGAACTTTGTTATGCACAAGCGGCATATAGTGAATTGCAATCAAAACAACTCACAGACAAAGACACGTATATGCTATTGGGTAACAGCCACAAGATGGCCACATCATTGAGTGTCTAGAACCAATAAAATGACAAAATTTATCTTTTTTAAATAGAAACTAGTTCCATAGCTGTTTCTTAGGACACTTTACCTTGTGTTCAGACACAACTTAGCAGAAAAATAGAAAAAAACAATTGACAAATCACCATGACAGCTATAATATTGGACATACCGCATTCACAATCAACTGAGAAAAATGTGCAGACAATTCATAACTGATCTTACTTGGAATTAATACATAACCACATAAATAGTTGATAAAAAAAATGAAAGAGTTAGAACACAGTGGTTCAGTTCCAGTTTTACTTTTGTTGCCCACTGATGAAAAATACAGGTATAGCATTGTGGGTGAACGAAGAGACACATACACGTAATCGATAATAACGACAGGATGGCTTCATCCCTGTGGGTCTTAAGTCAATATAATAGTAAAATCGCCGAATTTTTTTTTATAAAGAAATCTGTGACATATTAAACTATTCAGGGGAGTGTGTACTTTGCGTTTAGTCACAAGATGGTGGAAAAATATACATATTAAAAAAAAAAAACAGAACTTACCATGGCGATTCAAACCCTAGACAAACTGGTTTTATAGCCAACCTGGTTATATAATTATATATAAAATGCAAAGATGATCTTATTTCAAATATATACATAAATAAATATTAAATACTGGTATATGATTATGATAAAGAAGTTGAGAGGAAAGGGTTGATCCTACATTTAACATGTGCAAAGCAATTTTTTAAATTAAAAACATTATGGTTAATAACACCGCCCTAAAACTTTGCCGCATATTAGACACAAATAGAGCATTGCATTCAAAACCGGACCAGACAAAGACACATATATGTAATTGATAACAGCCTCAAGATGGCCAAATCACTGTGTGTATGAATCCAACATAACAAGAAATTTTCACTTTTCTTAAGAGAAATCAATTTCATAAACTTCTCTGAAGACAATTTGCCACATGTTTAGTCACAAGGTGGTTGGACGCAGAATATAAATTGACAAATCACCATAACAGCTCATATCTTGGACATTCCGCATTTGCAGTCTACCGAGTTAAACGAGAGAATTCACAGATGATCCTATTTCCAACACATACAAAGATGGTAATAAAAAGAAAATTCAAACAAAAACGTTGCTTTAATGTTTTGCCCTTGAAGTGCACATGTCAAATATAAAGCATGGCAGGCAAAAGGAGACAGACAAAGGCAAGAAACATGCAGTTGATAATAACGACATGATGGTAGATCTCTGAAAGTTTGAAATCAATATAACGACAAAATCACGATTTTTTTTTAAAGGGAATCAGTGAGATAAACTTGTTTAGATACTGTTTGCTTTGTAACAAGTCAAAAGGTGGTAGACAAATATAAAAAAAAATGAGCTCACCAAGACAACTCGAACCTTAGACAACCCCTTTTCACAGCCATGCGAGTTGCACGTACAGAGAATGCGTAGATGATCTTATTTCAAATATATACATAAATACATATTAAATTTACAAAAATTGTGAAAATTTCAAAGAAAATGTTAAATAATAAGTTTGGCATGGGCACTGCAGTTTTTGAAATTGAGAACTTCAGTGTTTACAACAAGGGCCCAGAAGTTTGTCGCACACAGGCAGCAATAAAAGCATTGAAGTCAAAGGAAAATGCAGACAAAGGCATATATGTAATTGAGAACAACCACAAGATGGCTAAAATTGTTGTGTGTCTGAAACCAATATAACAGCAACATTGCTGTTTTTTTTTTACAAAGAAATCAGTACCGTAAACTTTCTTGGGAACACCACCTCATATTTAGTCCCGAATTGGTGAAAAGAAGGGAAGAATTAGAACAAAATAACTTATAGAGAAAGGCAGGATGATTCGGACTTTAGACATTCCGCTTTCGCAGTCATCCAAGTTACACGTACAGGGAATTCATAAATGGTTTTACTTCAAATAAAAAAAATAAACACATAAATAAATAATAAAAATGAAAAAGGTGAAAGAAAACCGTTAAAGCTAAGTTTTCCATGTGCAGTGCAATATTAGCAACTAAGCTTCAACGCAAATGGCACTGACCCAGAACTTTATCGCCTACAAGCGCCGACCTATGCATCAAAGTCAAAAGAAGAGACAAAGACACGTACATACGAAATTGATAATAGCCACAAGATGGTGAATTCACCTTGTGTCCCATGTAACAATAAATTTCCTGTTTTATTAAAAGGAATCATTGCTATCAAATTTTTCACAGACAGTTTGCCTCGTGTTAACGGCTTTGTGAGTACAAAGCACTCACGGATGGCCAATGCATGTATAATTTCAGCGTCTGAGATATTTATTCATATATTGTATCCTTGCTAATGAATTGTCTTATTCATGTGATAAATGTCTTGCAACACAAATTCCCTTGTGTAATAAACTGGGAATTTCTGCTCTCAGTCTGGGAAAAAAAGGTGCACTTCTGTTTAAAACCTTCAGACCGACGGTTTACAAAATAGCAATGATAAAAATAGTCGTAAAAAAACAAAATTCATAAATGACACCGGCCCAGACATAGTATGTCTGGATTCAAAAACTCCACACGAACATCAATTGTGGACACTCTAGAGGGGCAGAGGAAAAGTAATTTTTGGAGACGTGAAGGTGATGGCATGCTTGTGTGCCAAAACCCTTTAGAGACGCAAATCCTAGCTTAGGGAACCAGGAAATAATCCACATGTGCGCCAAAAAAAACACTGCCAAAGTGTTTTCAACCAGACATTCCCTGGTGACGTCTCATTTCGAAAATCGGAAGATCTCAACAATTATGTAACGCAAAAGGCGGTGGATTGCCATCTAGCTTGTCTACCTCGAGGCAAACGAAGCTACATGATCTGGACCTACCTTCTACATTACTTGCTTGACAACATCCAGGACTGACAAGGCGAACACTCTGTTGTTGCGGAGACAAAGCGTTTTACGATAGTACACAACGAATGCCAAGCGCCTTTGTAACCGAGCCAAGTGTTGACAGTTCAGCGGCTTCCGCCGTGAACAACAAGTTCGTCTAAAATGGCGGCTGAGGTCAGTGCTCCTTCTCAGGGTGAGCTCGAAGAGGATTTTCTCGAAGAAAGGTTGTCGAAACCTATCATTTACTCACCTGAAGTGGAAGAAGCTATTTCGCAGGTATTTCCGATGTAATTAAGGGGTATTTGTGTCGGGTACACCTATATCTTGAGTGTAGACTTCACTAAGTGTGCGTATATGTGGTTTATAGCCATGAAAAGGGAATTTCCACCAAGGAATGGGATTAAGCCACCTTTACACAGGAAGTGTTTCTATTTACAAGTCCTGTCGTTCAATGAAGTTTCGTAATTTTTAGCAAGGAGACTTCTCGATGAAAATCTTATGCAGGACAAAATCTGCTAGTAAATCAATATATATATATATATATATATATATTAAAAAAAATGCAGAACATTTGATAATGTGCATGACTTGTCACGACATTAGGGTGGATTTTGAGGGAAATTGTAAGTTTTTTTTCTTGTAAGTTTTTCTTCACAGACATCTTGGTTGAGTTTTATTTTTTGTTTCAAAAATGATTTACTTAAAAAAGTGCTCTAGCTCTTGCTTAGCCCTGTCACTCCCAGAAGTTTTTTACATGTTTCTTCTTCCTTTAACCTATTGATGTCCAGTGCGCACATAAGCGCCCATGTGGAACCACACCCTTTCTATGCCTTGTGACGTCATCACTTTGAACCCTGGAGCACGACTTTGAGCATGTACTTCAACAGGTTGAAAATATCTTACAAACAATACCAGAATGAGCGCAATTGAGTCAAAGGCACTGGAGAAATAGCCAAAAAAACCATGTAACTTTGACCTGAAAATCTGCACGAAAATCTTGTTCCATTACCCACCTACCTTTCTGAGCATGTGGTTTAAATATAATGAATAGTTTCCTAAAAAATCTCTACACAAAAATGGAGCCTACTCAATTTCCAGCAAGTGAGGAGAAAATTCAGGCAAGGAAAGGGAAAAGAAAGGGCAGGAGAAAGAGAGAAAGGTAAAAGTCGCAAGTGGGGCATTACTTTTCAACCCAAATATCTTGAAATTTTGCTTTCTGCACCTGCCTGAGATTTTCAGGCCGCCATTTTGCATTTGGATCGAAAGGCCATGAAGTGTACAAGCTGTGAATGGGTTTGTGATAAATTTGAGCTTTTAAAACCACAACAGTGACCCAAAATCTGCTCGACTAGCTTCAAAACACAGTTTTTCACAAAAGCTGCGGCTATTGATGGGTTAATGTTCATACATTATCCAGCAAACGTAATGAAAATACTCAAAATTATTAGGTAGAAGTTTGTTATTTTGACCTAGCACCAAATTCTTGTTTCTAATTTTAAAGGAAATCTGTAGAAGCTAGAAGGAGAATTAACAATCAGATCATGGGAGCCCAGGGGCTGGAAGTTTGTCAATGTACACAATAAATGCTGTTTTACATGATCTAGCTCTGCTATTCAGGGTTCGACATCTCCGCTAGCCAGGTAGCCTAAGGCTAGTAAAAATTTGGTCCGGCTAGTAAAAAACCACCTTTAATAGCCCGCTGGCTAGTAGTAAAATTAAAAGAAATTATATATAATTAGTTTACTTGAAGTTCACAGTTGATTGAAAAAACAAGAAAGTTTAAATTGTAATGATAATACCAGTGAAGAACGCCCAAACCTTTCATCTTCTGGAGTCTTTTTGTCTTGTGTGTCGATTGTAAACATCACTAGATGCCAGACTCTGCGCTTAATGGTCAATTCTCCCCCAGTCCTCTCCCTACCAATGTTGCAATGCCTTGCACATCGCCTCACACCATCACCTCGCAGGATGGCCTCGCATGATGGCCTCGTACGATCGCCTCGCACAATCGCCTCGTACAATTACCTCACACGATTGCCTCTTGCGCTCACCTCCGATAATCGCCTCGCACTTGAAAATTTACTTAGCTTTTTTCTTAAATAGCACATTATGTTATCACATTGAAAGAAAAATGCCATTCTTTATCATTTTAAAAGACCTATCCAATAAGTTTGGAGGAATGTTTGGGATTGAAGTAGACCATGAGGGAAATCGATCCGGGCTACCAAGTTGTGTTTCAGGCTGGTAAATTTTAGAAATCACCAGCTCGGTGGCTAGTAATGCGATAGCCATGTGTCAAATCCTGCTATTTATATAAAAGCACAGTCACTTTTTAACATTATCTGCAAGCCATGGACCATAGACTGTACAATGAGTATAAAACGAGGGTTGTGTCCATAAGCATTTTGAATTGGTGATAACTTGATTTTGAGGGCAATTTGGTGATAACCAAGACTATAACAAAATTCTTGAACATGATTGGTTATCAAATGCCCAACTTGAGCACCAATGGGATAGTGTGCATGACTTGCTTGTAATTAGACAGTGTGATAGGACAGTTGACATATCGTGCCTGTGTAAGTGGAGTCCAGTACACATCATATGCTTGCACTGTTGTTGTGTATTTCACCAAGTTAACTGTTGTTGTTTTTTTTTTTATGAAAACATATAACTAATCTCTAGTTTCTCTCTCAAATTTTGCCTTAGTTTTGATCTATTGTTAACAGGACTTGTGGTTGTCCAATTCTGTTTTCTGCACTATTTGTAATTAGCACTTGTGTTACAACTTTGGACTTGTGTTACATTAAAATTCTCTTGTTTCTAGCCAATCTGATGCCCGTAATTTTTTCATGTTTATTATTAGGTACGAAACATGCATCAAAATAAGCACTAGACAGTTAGCATTTGCATTTGGACATGAGTCACATGCATGTAAATCACATGCCACAGGCTCATGATTTACAGAGTTTTATTTTATTCTCCCATCATCTGGCACAGTTTATTACACTGCAAAACTGATAGAAAGTGCTATCTATTGCCTAAATATTTCATGGGATTCTAGATAATTGATTGTGTTCATCCAGTGAAAGAAAGTAGGACTCGAGAACGGATTATTTTTTGCTGTTACAAGATCTACAAACAGTTTAAATTCTTGTTAATATTTAGTAGTAGCCATTTCGTTTTGAATTAATTCCACTGACAACTTCAAATCATACAGACATTTGATGAAAATTTATGATAAACTTAATTTTTGGCTAGCTTCTTAGAGCACCAGGCTAGTACTTTGCTGATAGCTTGCCCAAAGGGCTAGCTAAATTTTTTTCAAATATTCATCCCTCACTGGTTGGTGCTTAAGCAATAAATTTGTTATATATGCAGGTTTGTGGTGCTATCATACTCTCTAGTACTAGTTGTTCATGAGGTGGAGAGTTTTTGTAGCCCTAAACTTTGCTTTTGTACATTTTCTTGAGGCAAGTATTTTACAAATCATTGTGACAAAATCTTAGGTAAGAATGTGTCCAGTGTTTTAGAATAACTAATGCCATCAAGGGAACTTATCCATATACTCAGACTGTTATCTTGTTTTTGTTTTGACTCCACTTCCATTTGTCATAGTCTCTTCTACATCTGTCTATTTTCCTTGAATTAATCATGAAAATTTCAAAAAAGCTTGTGGGGTTCATATAAAATTTGGCAACCTACTTGATGAAGTTAATGATATTACTGGAAAAAAGGCCTTGCTATTTTTTGATGATGTTCAAAATACAGCTTTTCCAGATCTTTGCAGCTCTTGTCAGATCTCTAAAGTGTGAACTCTCTGTTGTCTTGAAAATGAAACATATTTAGTTCAATGAACTTAAATTTTATATTTAACAATTATTCACCTCAGGTTCAGTGAATATTGTCGAATAATTGTTTTAGTATAATTTCAGAGCTGAACAACAAAGAAATTTCTAAAATCATAACATTTTAGTAACATTTATTAACATTTTATTTTAACATTTTATGTAAACCGCGTGGAGCTGTTTATATAGCGTCATATAAGGAACCGCTCAACCAATCAGATTGCTGGAAACTCTTTGCTCAGCTCTGAAATTATACCAAAAAAGAATAGTGGTTATATCTTTTCAATGTGTAAATAGTCAAAACCAGCTGAAGGTGAACTCCTAAGAGTGACCAGCATCTAATTTCTCCCATTGGTTTCATTCTCGAATCAAACATTTAGGTCATGACAATAAAGGAAATGATCAAGAACTCAAGAAACTCGTAATTTCTTTAGAAATTCTCCCTGTTATCACCTTAAGAAATGTACAGAGAACAGTGTGGAGAATATAAATACTGATGTTAGGGTGTAAAGGGTTTAAAGCTGGTTACTGGTGATCCACTGCTAAGATAAGATAAAACCTCTTACTGCTGTCTGTTTAGCTTGTGAGTAGGCTTTGGTGTTTGGGTTTTGTCCTATGGCCCCTTTCCAAGCAGCTGCTTTTCATTATTGTGGATATATTGAACCTTGGTTTAATAAATGAAACATTAAGTAATCACCCTTTTTATACAATAGTCATAACAGGTAGCAAATTCAAGCACCCAAAATCAATAGCAAGAGCATGAATCATAATCCTATTATGCAAGTTAATGACGTCAGCAAACAAGTGCCTCAAGACAGAAAATATTTTCCTCTGCGGGGACTGCAAACATCGTGACCAGTTTGGCTGCAAGATTTGAGATTTTCAAGTTGGTTTTTTTTTTTGTTCCATCCCAGTTAAGATAGACTTTAAGGAGCTCTGAATGAAAAGTTAGCTTTCTTAAAAATTGTTTTAATTTTGAGAAAACAACAGCCAAAATACTATGCTGACAATGTTATGAGATAATTGGCTCATATGTCAGCTGCTTTTTTTTATGGGGTATGAAGTACATGGGAAGTTTTGAGAGCACTCAAAAATTGTTGTTCTTATCTGCACCTCGTACTTTCAAAACTTCCTGTGTGCTTCATGTTGCCATGAACTCATGCTAGTTTATGAACCAATTAGTAATAATAATAATAATAATAATTGCGTTGTTACGCCCTATGTTTTTTTTTTTCAGTAAGCTCAGCATCTAGAAGTTCAGTATTGCGATAATGATGATAATGGTGGGAATGAAGCAGTGGACATTTTTTGTATGAACATATGAAAATGATAACAATCTTAGATTAAATTTTTCATTGTCTCTTTTTGATTAGGTGTTTAAGAGTGATGATCCACTGGACAGTAAAGATTTTAACCCAGTGGACTATATAAATTCCATTTTTCCAACTGAACAGGTTTGTTACTGCTGTCTGTAACATTCTAGATAGATGTACATATATCTTATTAACCAAGTGCGAGGGCCATACTGGGAGGATATCAGCCTGAAGTCTTGACAGTATGGACCAAGTGCATCGAGGTCAGTACAAAAAAGACTGAGGGCTGATATTCTTCCAGTACGGTCCCAAGCAAGCTTGGTTAATAAGAGATTTACTACATGACTGAATTTCAAAGGGACACAAGTGTGGTATCATTCGGGACCATTCGGGAAAGTGCCCGGTCCAATACTTAGAGAATATTGACGGGCAATAGAGCATTTTGATTGGTTGATTTTAGTTATTGGCCCTCTGACTGCCTGAGTCATGTAATAAATGTAGTGTCTTTAATACTGAGGATTACTACTGACAGCAAAGTTGTTATAGATGCTGTATGTATGACAAAATTTGTGTCTTGTAACTTTTTTCATTCTAGTCCCTTGCCAATATAGATGATGTTGTCAATAAGATGAGACTGAGAATCAGGTGAGGCTATATGAAAAGCTCTTGGTTCTTTTTAAGTGTTTATAATTTGCAAATGCTGCTTAACTGTCTTATTTTTTTTTTTTATTGTTTGTGGCTTTGGTTTAAGAGATGGGTCTCTGCGAAGTTTTATTCATTGATGTGGTTTGTTGATTGGTTTGGATTCATAAGATATGTACCCAGGGCTTGATACAGTAGCCAGTTTGGCTAGTAAACTAACTGAAATTGTAGTTGTAACATCTTAGTTATCACTAGCCACTTGGCTAGTAAGTTGAAAAGTTAGTGTTGAACCTTGTACATGTATACCATTTGACCCTTTCACTCTGTTGAATGACCAACTAAGACAGAATTTCCAGGGCTCGAATTTAATTTTTGGATCACTAACCCTTTGGGTTAGTAGACATCTTTTTTACTAACGAAATTATAAAGTTTGGTATCCAAGCTCACAAGTTACGATATCTCAAATATTGAACATTTTGATAATAACACCTCTAGAAGACAAATTAAAGAGTATCTGAAATTGCATGGTGACCTCAAAAATGTTGACAATTATGCACCTATTTTATTTCCCTCTCATTTACCATGATTAGTCAAGAACAGTACATCTACAGCACATTCTCTAAAAAGAGTTAAAGTTGACTTAACAACTTGAGTATTCTAAGTATTCCTGTGAGAGTTGGGTCTATGTGCTCTTTGTCCTGAGGTCTACCAATGTTTAAGTATGTTAGAAAATTTTACTTACCATGTTGGGTTAGTTGGACAAATTTTTAGTAACCAAAATTACTAGCCATTGGTTAACAGGTTACCGTTAATTTTGAGCCCTGATTTCTACATAGCTGTACCAAATGCAAGTTGCAAATTTGGTGACTTTAGCTGAAATATTTAATGGCCAATATTTGGTCCTCCTTGCCAAGGTGACAACCAAACTTGTTTCACCTTGGAATGCAGGTGCTTTTCATACTATCCTTGTGTATTGAGAGTTAACTTAATGGTTGTCTTCTCTTTTTATTTGCATGTGATTCATTTAATCGGTGAATTTATGACTACGAGTTTGTAATTAATAGGGGTCTTGATGAAGAAATTAGAACAGTTGTCAGAGGACAGACTAACATTGGCCATGAAGGAAGACAGGTAAGATACAGTAACATTGAGAACTTCTCGACTTAAAATCTCTCTGAATTTCCCTGTCAATTTCTCGAATGATCTTGAATGTCTCAAAACTAGTCTTGTGTCTTCATCATCAAAGTTTTCCATAATCAAGAGGTGCCACATTTTAGAAGCTAACCCTTGAACTCCTGGAGAGGAATAGCCTCTAATTATTCACCTATGTCTCACTTCTGAATCAGTCATTAGGCTCAAGAGAATAAAAGACCTGATCGCAAACTTGAAAATCTCCTGATTTTAACTAAGAAAGGACAGTATAGAGAATGTACATGCTGATCTTTGGGTGTGGAGAGTTAAAGGAGTAGAATCTACTTTTAACTTGTATCACTCCTTGACTACCCATCTGTGATGATGGAAAATGATGCAAAAAATATGTGAGTGGTTCCCTTTGGAAGAGCTTTTTTATGTTCACTTAGTGGAGATCTAATGTAGATTGGATTCTACCTTATGCAGTCAGGACTGCAACATCAAGGAAGACATTGATGAAAAAAGTGAAATTATTTTTTTACTGTATTTCACAAATGGCTGGACATGTTTGTGATCCCTTACGGCGCTTTGGCGTGTTACAGTGGAGTTTTAATAGTTTGCCGCTAGGGTTTCCGTTCTCAGACCATGCAAATTTTGGTAATTTCATATTATTGTTTTGTGGAGGATGCCTGATAAATGAGCCAGGTTTAGAAATGTGCACGTGCTGAGCTGTTGTTCTTTAGATCTTTTGTCTTGCCATGTCGTTGTAGTGGTCATTGTTGTGGTTAGGGTTAGGTTCATAGTAGCAGATGAGGGGGTTCTATTTCTGGGTAACACTGCTTATTACCAAAAGAATGCAGTGATTAAAACTTATTTTGTTTGCAGCTGACACCATGTGAATTATCCATCCCTTAAAGGGTATAAATGCAAAAGACAGCAGGGTTATTTTCAGTTATGCCATGTGGTTGGTTGCATATATTGATTTACGTGAGTCCATCAAAATTACATGTGGAAGATCGTTAGAGTAATTCTGACTGACTGCTTTGTTCTTATGATAATTTTTAGAGAACACAATTTGCTCACAGCTGAGTGATTTCCACCAACTGATTTGTGTACCTTATTGTTACATATTTTCATTGGAACTTAAGTCTATGAAAATGGAAAGGACCTATTTTGTGGCCAATTTAACTTTGCCATTTGGCCAAAAATGTATTTCAAATGGAGCTAAATTGTAGGAAATTGTTAAAATACTGATCTGCATGTACAGACAGTGGTGTCTCAGAATTGGAACAATGGATTTGAATTTTCCATAACAATAGTTTCCAATGACACTGAAGAAAGCCATATTATAAAAAAACAAGGAACTAGATGGTAAAGGATGGTTAGAAAACTAGACTAAGGATATCTTATATGGACAAGAACTGCTGTGAGATGGTGATATTGATTCAGAAAAAGAGAGATAAGAAATTGGGAAAATGGATTGAAATTTTCCATAACAATAGTTTCCGTTGACACTGAAGAAATCCATATTATAACAAAACGACGAACTAGCTGGGAAAGGATTGTAAAAAAACTAGACCAAGGATATCTTACATGTATAAGAACTGCGGCAAGATGGTGATATTGATTCAGATAAAGAGAGCCTGCACACCAAAACTTAGATCGAAAACTTAGACAAGATCATTATCTAATAAACTGACCTTGACTTTGGTTTAAGAATGATACAGCAGGGAGTGAATTTGCCATGATTAATTTTTTGCAAAAACCTCTCTATGGGGTCTTCAATTAATTTAACAGTTTTGACAATTACAAAAACTAAGTCCTGAAAGACTTATTAGTAACAGTAAGGTATTCACAGTTGACATGAGACTACTCCATAAATGTTTTCCCTCTAATGCTACAAATTTTTCAACGTTTTACTAACTTGGATTAGGGATTCTAAGTTTGACAGTAAACCTGCCAATTAACTTGAATTATGGGCATCAGTCACTCCAGCAGTTCAAAATCCCAACCACATGAATAATTTGTATGTATGACTTGCGCTCCTTGGGTACTTGCTCAGCATCATCAAGGTATTTTTTCTTTTGCCAGGCACTTGATGAAGCTCAACAGGCAATTCAACAGTTGTTTGCAAAAATCATTGACATCAAAGAAAAAGCAGATAAATCAGAACAAATGGTGAGCAGATGTTTCTCTTCCTCCACCCCCCACCCCCCCTACCCTGCATTTCATAGTAAACATTGTTGTGCCAAGGTAGAATTTGTAGATCTGTCAAAGAACAGCAACATGTATGGCATGTTGGTGTTAATAGTATTTCTGTGGCAGACTACTGAAGAATCAAAAGAAAGGAGACTTATTTTGTATCTAGTGATGACACGTTATCTTATCCTTTGTTGTTTCTACCACAAGTAAGTAAGTACTAAGTTAAACTTTATTCCATCAGGGTGGCCCATTCAGCTTTAAGGCTGGTATCTTAGAGGCCTTGTATCAAAATTTGATTATGATTACATTATATTAAAACTAAAGTTATGTTAAAAATCTAACTTCTGTCAAGTAACTAGAAAAAATCTCTAAAAATTAGGACCACATAAAAAACTGTTTTGGTTGCTGTGTCAATGTCATTTAGCTAGCCAAGAGTACTCAGTACATGTGGCTGGCAGCTGGAAGCCTAAGCTCCCCTTTATATGCCAAATATTTGCCTTCCCTTGCATGCTATTGTTCAGAAAACATACACAGCTACAACTTTGTCATAAAAAATGACTTTTTTTCAGGTGAAAGAAATAACAAGAGATATCAAGCAGCTAGATCATGCAAAGCGACATTTGACAAGCTCCATTACAACTCTTAATCACCTCCATATGCTAGTGGGCGGAGTTGACTCTCTGATGTAAGTCCATCGATTTGATCAAACTTATGCACGATATAATTTGTTAAACTGGTTGATCCTTCCTAAAATATTGCATAATATAATTATCAAGTTTTGCCAATTTTGCATGTTGTCCTCATTATTCACAAAATGAAATTCTGTAAATATGTAACACCTTTAGTTTAGTAAAAGAACTCTGCATAAAAAATGTCAGGGGTCCAACAGAAAATGTCTATTTACTTGTGGGTGAAGTTTATTACTGAAACTACATTTGGTCTGTCCTCCTCAATCATCTGAGCACATGAGTCCATGGTCAGAGAAGGCCATTGATAACTGTTTGATTTCCAGTTAGTCTTGAAAGCTGCACCCATTTCAAGCTTGACTCCTGTCCCTCATTTACTGGTCTACTAGAAGCAAGTTTCTTATCCAGAAATGTTCATTAGGAAATTAAAGACAAAAAAACTTAAGGTGGAAATTTTGCAACTTACTCTAATACCAAAATTTATGAGGTTTCCAAACCTCTATGCATGGACCTCAGCATGGAAACAAGACTGGTCTAAAAAAGCGTTTATAATTATTTTCAGTAAATCTACTCCCTTGTGTATACTGTATGGTCCATGTGAAGTCTTAAGTTGTAATTTAGAGAAGTTTATGATATTTTTGGTGTCTTAGGACTTTAACCAGAAAGAGACAGTATGGAGAGGTAGCCAATCTTTTACAAGGAGTTGTCAATGTTTTGGAACATTTCAAAAAGTACTTCGGGATTGCACAAATACGGCAACTAGCAGACAAGTAAGTCTGAAATTACAACATTTTGCTGCATAAGTTTGTAAATACCTACACGTTGATGTTGCATTCCTCCTATACACGTGCATGAAGTTGAATTTCTATGAAATTTCATCAATACCTTTATATGTACAATTAATAATTCATACATACTGTAATTCACCAGTGTTTTCACAAATTTTGCTGTATTTTTCCAAGCCTATAGAAAGGGTCAAAATACAGACAATTAGCCAAAATACACAATGTAACGTAGGCACACACTGAAACATCTTGTGACAGATTTGTTATCCAACAGCCATGATGGTATTTTCCAGGCTGTGTTCACATCAAGTTCCATGATACATTTTAGTTCTTTACATCATTGCACCTGCATATCTACAGTATGTGCTCTCACCATATTAACTCATTTACTCCTGCAAAGATTACAATATTTTTGGGCACAAATCCGGCATGTGTTGCTCAGAGATGAATAGCAAAGGATATTTAGAGTTTGAGTGGCCAATCAGGGTGTGCCAGCAGTGCTATTTACTGTTTCAGTACGTACTAAATGTAGTTAAGAAAGGGATCCTGTGCAGCTGTATATCTGTTTTATGACATGTAAGTCGCAGATGACATGAAAACTTGAACATAAGATGCGATGTTCTTTCAGCATTTTGACATCTTGTAGATCTTACTAATTGTGAAACCCTTGTAATGTTAGGGTGAAACAAATACAAAGTGAACTTGGCACACAGATATTGGCAGATTTTGAAGAGGCTTTATCTGTGAAAGGGGTTAAGGTACATTTAGAAGCTTTTTAAAACATTGTTCATTTATTGTTTATTTGTTTACTTGCCATTTTTTCAATATGATACATCAAGGAATTACAAATACTGTTACGAGTTTGATGTTTGAGTGGTAGGTGATTTGCAGTCTAAACAGAACGCAGGGTTGTCGGAACAGCAACAAGAAGGTTTATTCCAAACTGAACGTAGTTTCCACTAGATAAACTTTACACTAGTACGTAACTCAGTAAACTTACACGGCCTCCACCAACTTTGATCAACTTGAAAATACACACGGCCTCCGCCAACTTCAATAAACTTGAGAAATACACACGGCCTCTGCCAACCTCGATAGACTTGTAAATGCTCATGGCCTCCACCAAATTCAACAAACACTGCCTCGTCACACTTGACTGATCACAACTGATTAGGGCTAACTCTCTTCGCTTGTGAAAACTAGTTAAAACTACTCTTAACCTATCGTACTTATATACTTACGCAATAAAATTCTAGAACTTTCTAAGAAAGGTCTAATTATAGCAACATTACAAAATATACTGCTTTTAGAATGATTATGTCATGTACTAAAATAAACAAACCATGACCTTTCGCGAAGCTTCCAGAAGGTCATGCATGTCACGCAACACTATTTTTTGTAACAAATACATTAATATAATAGAACTGAAAGTGTAGCATGTGGCAAAGAAACCAAGAGGCTCATGCAAGCTACCAGTTCCTCATATTTTACAAAAGTGAGGTATCAGTTGCATGGCATGATTTAGGTACAAAATAGTTTAGAATTGAAACCCACAAAAAAAATTTTCATTTCCCTGGTAAAAATCCTGTTCAGGATCCTGTTCAAGATCTCGGTAGGATCCTTACTAGGATCCTTACTAGGATCCTTACTAGGATCCTACCTGAAATCCTATTCAGGATCTTGTACAAGATCTTGTACAAGATTTTGTATGAGAGATCTTGTACAAGATCCTAAAGATTTAATAGGATCCTGTATAAGATCCTGTGAGATATTGCAGGATCCTATAAAAGATCCTAAAGATTTAAGAGGATTAATTTGTACAAGATCTCTAGTAGGAAAAAAAAACACACTGGCATAGAGATGAATCTTTTCTACAAATTGATATAAAAGATGCCACAATGGAAACCAGACTTTAAATTCAAGTATATTGTGAAATTAATCCATGAGAAAACACAGCCAACCAAAATGTCTTGTCAGTTATTTTTATGTTGGCCAATGTGCTTAAAAAGTTATGCTACAATTAGGTTGCATATTTTCTAATTAGCATAACATCTTCTACCAAAAAGGCTGTTGTCATGCCTATAATAATTACTTATAGTCATTTTGAAAAAACCTGCGAAATAAAGTGTAATGGTGTAATAATTAGTAAGAGTCATGTACTGACAAAAGAAACTGTTACAATATGCCATTGCATATTTAATTAGCCCATAATTGTTTAGATCATTTATACCTAGTATGCATCATTCTATTGTTCACACTTAATTAGTTGTAGATTGCGCCAAAAAATTGTTATTCATAGTGTGTCCAATTTGTATTTAAAAAAGCCGTTAGGACGCGAATTAAACCTGGCTGTCTAAAACGAAACGGTTGTGCGGTCATGATATATTTCTTCATGAAGGAGACTAAAAAAAAAAAAACAAAAGGAAACATGGTGTCAGGAGTAAAAGTCTAGTCTACGTTCTAGAAGCCGAACAAGTTCATCGATAATCAACGATCGCAGAGTTTGAGTGAATATTTTGTGTTCACAAGCCTCAAGTTCACCATGGAAGTTCTCGTGAAAGGACCAATCTTGGATTGGACAAACGACAGAAAACTTCACGAACGTTTCCTAGAATGGAAAAAGAAGGTATCAATTTTATGCAGAGGTCTTGTAATGACCAAAGACAGACCCGGAGTTTGTTTGTCAATGCATTTATCAGTGGTCAGGTGAGAGCAGACAAAATATTTTGGACAAGGCAACAATGCCAGCCGATGATTGCAAGAAATGGGAGATACATCTCGGAAAGGTGGAGGAGCAATGCAAACCCAGAGGGAGCAAACTAGTCACGGCTGCACAGTACAAAGTGCTCACTCAAGGTGATACAGAATTGCCAGAGTACATCAAAAAGTGCAGGCAAGTCACTGATGCATGCGGATGGCCAGAAGACGCAAACCACATGGCTCTCAGGAACGCTATTCTCCTTGGTCTAAAGAATCCTAAAGTTTATAAAAAGTGTTTGGAAGAAGACCAGGACTCCCTTACCGCCGAACGAGTGATCGAAATTGCAACTCTCCTACACAACAGTGATTGTCAAAGATCAATTATGCAGACTCTCAGTACAGCAACTGTAGCAACAACTGCAATACAACAAGGATCAACATGAATTCACAAAGTGCAATCAAAGCATCAAAAAGGCGGGAAATCAACGGAGTGGTCAAAGCGAGACAAGACATCTAAAGATAAAGAGCATGGTGAGACAAAAAGGCAAAGTTGTTTTTGTTGTGGAGCAAAGCCGCTCACCCCAGATCGCAGTGTACAGCCAAGGATGTTACTTGTCACAAGTGTGGAATGAAAGGACACTACAAAATGTGCTGCAAGAGCAAAACAAGTAAACAAGGTACAGCTGGTGAACCTAGGCAGGTTCAAGTACATGGTTTACAAGCACCGCAGACAGGAGCCAGTGAGGTTAAGAAGCCTACATGTGAGGTGTTGGATGACGCAGTCATCTTAAATGGAAAGAGACACTGTTTGCCCTTAATAATGGAGTATGTATTATCCGAATTCAGAGATATATTCAAGGGTATAGGAAAACTACCAGGGGGAAAGTATCACATCCAACTCAAGCCAGATGTACAACCAGTGCAACATCCACCACGGGCAGTACCTGAGAAGAAGAAAGCAGCATACAAAGAAGAGCTTGAGAGATTGTGCAGTTCGGGAATCATTGAACCAGTTCAAGGATACACAGACTGGATCAACAGCGTTGTTCCTGTCTCTAAACCTGGTGGATCAGTTTGACTATGCGTAGATCCAAAGGACCTTAATCAGAGCATCAAAAGGAACCAGTACTACACGAAGACTATGGATGAAGTTAGTGCTGAACTCCACCGAGGAAAATATTTTACGCTAGTTGATGCCAAGTCGGGCTATTGGATGGTAGAATTGGACAGTGAAAGTTCACTTCTAACTACCTTCAACACTCCATGGGGGAAATACAAGTGGCTCCGCCTTCCCTTTGGCCTTAAAGTCAGCACAGACGTATTTCAGGAGAGGTTGAATGCCGTCCTTAAGGAAGTGAAAGGAATCATGAGATGCATTGACGATATCCTTATGAGAGGGGTGGATTCCAAGGATCATGATGTAAATCTACTCCAGTTACTCGAAACAGCACAAATGAACGGAAGTAAGTTCAATCCAATGAAGCTACAGTTCAAAACAACTAAGTGCGATTTCTTTGAACAGATTATCACACGAGAGGGTATGAAGAGCGACGACAAAAAGGTAGAGGCCATCAAACAGATGAAAGCGCCAAAAGACAAGAAAGCTCTCCAGAGTTTCCAGGGAATGATCAACTATTTGAAGCGCTACTCAGCCAAGTTGACGAGACTATTTGAACCGCTCGGATCACTGCTGTGGGAAGAAATGAAATGGACCCGGGACTCTTCCTATCAAGATGCCTTCAATGCCATCAAAGAAGAGCTCTCCAGGACCCCAGTACTCACATACTTTGACCGGAAAGCAGAGCACGTTATTCAGACTGACGCTTCAATGAAAGGGTTGGGTGCTGTATTGCTGCAAGAAGGAAAACCAGTGTTCTACGTATCCAGAACTCTCTCTCCTGCTGAGGAACGCTATTCCAACATTGAAAGGGAATTGCTAGGAGTGGTGTTCGCCATGGAGAGGCTTCACAACTATGTGTATGGTGAGCCAGTCAGAGTTTAAACAGATCACAAACCTTTAGAAACGATTTGGAAGAAGAGTATTGCCACAGTCAGCCCGAGACTTCAACGACTTCTTCTGAGGCTTGCAAGATATGAAATTCAAATTGAGTACATCTGCGGGAAGGACAACTCAATCGCAGATGCCCTTAGTCGGGTCGACCCTCTCAGTCCAAAGCCTATGGACTCAAAGCACATGGATGTGATTCCAGTGCACCACATCACTTGAAATGTTCCAGCTACAGACAACCGACTTGACAGAACCAGTGTTGCCACCACTGCTGATTCGGCCTTGAACTAGTTAAGACATTACATCTTTCACAGCTGGCCGCTTCAGAGGCAGCAACTCCCAGAACGACTGCAACATTATTGGAATTACCGTGAAGAACTTGCAGTTGAAGATGGCCTGATATTCAAAGCACATCAACTTGTGATTCCAACTTCACTGAGAGCAGAATATCTAAAGGATCTTCATGCGGGCCACCTAGGAGAAGAGAAAACTCTGTTAAGGGCATGAGAGACAGTCTTTTGGCCTGGGATCTTGGATGATGTGAGAAATGCAGTTAAATTATGTAATGTATGCATGAAACACAAGCCTGCTCAACAGGAGGAAGCACTAGTACTGCATGATGTGCCCAGCTTGCTATGCTTTAAACTTGGAATCAACATATTTGAGTATCATTCCCACCACTACCTGCTGATTGCCGACTATTTTAGCAAGTTCCCCGTTGTAAAGAAACTGACCAATCAGATGGCGGGACACGTGATAAGTCTTCTCAAGACAATATTTGCAGAATATGGGATACCAGCAATGATGTATACAGACCAAGGAACCCAGTTTGTGTTCCAAGAATTCAAACAATTTGCTATGCAGTACAGATTCAAAGTGCAACACTCAAGCCCAAGCTATCCTCAATCGAACGGTTTCATTGAGGCTATGGTCAAAGTTGTAAAGGGCATAATGGAGAAGGCTGAAGAGTTGGGGTCTGATCCACATCTTGCAATGCTGATTTATCGTCCAACCCCAGTCAGACCAGGTCAGCTCAGCCCAGGAGAGATG